ATTTTCTCATGACAAGAAAAGGAGACAGCAAAACTAGCGTTTCTAGAGAAACCGTCTCCTAGAAGGGACAGTGAGATTAAATTATATAGTATTGTTTAGTGTGGGAGGGGGGTCTTTAGGAATGTCTGTTTTTGGTACTGGCATCCTCTAGTCCTTACCCTCAGCTAGGGAGGTCTGCAGGGTATATGTGTGTGGGATCATACTTCAGGGAAACATCATGAAAGCTTATCATTACATGATTCTTATCTATACTTTATTTATGGTCAAGAAGCTCGGGTACAAGGTGGCCTATGCCTGGTGACCTGGCCAGCAGTAAGATTTCTTAACTCTTACTACCATGTGCTCACAGTATGAGATAGGAGGAGGTAAGGAATGGAAATCCTGGAGGACTATGAATACTGGAATTTGACAGTTCATTCAGGGGATAGACAGTCCTGTGCTTATACAAAGTGCTTTTATGTTCAATCACTCCTGTGTATGCATGGCTATCAAACGGTGTTATAAGGCCTTTGCTGGTAAGCTATTTTAGGGAGCAGAGCAAACTTCTTACCAACTATTCTGAATTTATGTACTCTGAGATGAAGGCTCTAAGTCCTGTTTTATATCTCTCAAGTTTTTCAGTTACTAAAAGCAATGGATGTAACAACTATTGCAACAGTGTTGTGGCCCAAGCTGAGGTTAAGTAAAGGTGAGCAGAGAGGGACTTGATAAAGGAGGAATGTCAGAAAGGAGATGCCTAGGATATCTGAAGCCAGCTCAGAAGGAACAGGCATGATGAGTTTATGTCATTCAGGGAAAAGCCTTCCTATGTCTACTGTGTCCAGCTAAAAAGAGAGAATAAGGAAGAAGAATAGATCTAAGATAAGCCTTTCCCCATGGGTGATGGAAAGTAGGCACATTTGGGAGCCCCAAGATACCCATCCTAATTCTGATAAAGATGAAAGGCGAGCTGAACATGTCTGTGCTCAATAACCATAATAACCACAGAACAGCTCTCATTTATGAACTACTTCCTAGTCCCAGGTACTCTGCAGGTTATTTTACATGGATTAGGCTGAATTGTATGACAGTGCAGATATCTGACTCTTTACATCCATCCTACAAAATTGCAATTTCATATCATCCAGCCAACTGTTAGGGTGTAGGGGAAAATCCCCCACCCATCTGGTTTCTTTAGCTGGATGAGTAATCAAAATAGCATCAGTAATGTTAGCAAGTGAAAAACAAATTTAATAGCATGCATGAGGGAACTACAATGATTCTGCAGGTCCCAACTGTGGCTATAGAGAAAGGGGTATATAAATCCCACCTTAAGGGGCCCCAGGCACCAAAGGTAGAAGAGGAAGACTTCACATGAACCTAAATTCTGGTTCTTTGATTCTCCAAGAAATAGAAATAACGGAAACTCTAGTCATGCAGGTATCAAGCAAGAACTTATTAAAACTTATGCAGGGCCTCCCCGGTGGCGTAGTGGTTGAGGGCTGGGTTGCGAAGCTGCCCGCAGCCTCTGCAGCGCCGGTTCGATCCCCGGCTGCTCCCCGGCCACCAGAGGAGGGTCCCACATGGAGCGCAGACCTCTCCTGCCGCCCGCTGCTCCCCTCAGCAGTGTGCTTCGGTCCTTCTGCCTGCTCTGCTCCCTGCTCTGGCTCTGGTGAATTCTCTCACCCTCCCACACTTCTGACTGTACCCAGTGCTTGTACAAATAAATCTTAAAAAAAATAATAATAAAATAAATAAATAAAAAATAAAACTTATGCAACTGAGCACAGGGAGTCAGCATCAGGGATAGGATCTATATTCTATTCCCTGAGAAAGAGGTGGAGGCTCTATTTAAGCAGTTTTAACACAGCATAATTAAAGATCCTTTCTTTTTTTTTTTTTCCATAAAGTCCGTTTGATAGAAGCTTAGAGTAGAAAAATTTAGCAGAGAAGTTTTCACAAGCTCAAAAACCAAAGATGGGGAATTGATGGTTAACAAGTCTTAAACCAACTGTGGGTATTTCCAGGACCCAGAGGTGGGGACAGAGAGGATTATCAGTCACAGAAAACCAAACCAAGTTGACTCCAAGGCGATGAATTCCACAGTAATTTCATCAAAGAATGCTACAATAGGATATCCATTCCTCTGGTAAAATGCAGATCTTGTCCTTTAAGACTACCTACCTATTTCTGTGCAGGTGTCTCTTTCTTAAACCTGTCCCTTTCAAATGCAGCTCTTTACCTGCCTGCGTCTATGCAGGTATCTCTTTTTCCTAATAAAGATTTCTTAATAAACCTTTAAAATGCATGGGCCTCCCCTGGTGGCACAGCGGTTGAGCTCTGGGCTGCGAAGCTGCCTGCAGCCTCTGCAGCCCCAGTTTGATCCCCAGCAAGGGTCCCACATAGCATGCAGACCTCTCCTGCTGCCCGCTGCTCCCCTCAGCAGTGTACTTCGGTCCTTCTGCCTGTTCTGCTCCCCGCTTTGGCTCTGGTGAATTCTCTCACCCTCCTGCGTTTCTGACTGTACCCAGTGCTTATATAAATAAATAGATCTTTTTTAAAAAATCAATAAAAAAATAAAATAAAATGCAGCCTTTTCTGGTTTGTGTCAATGCAAACATCTTTTTCCTTAATAAACTTGTTGTGTGCATTGCAAATTTCCACTGGGAAACTGCCAAACTCTTTCTTAGATTTGTCACCAAATCCCAACTCTGAACCCCAACAAACCTACCCTTTATGATGCCTGCCCCCCAACTATATTCTCTAGGTCATATAAAACGGAGCAATGATGGATTCTGTAATTACAGAAAGGGCAAACTCTTAGGGAGTGACTTTCTTTTTTTCCATATGGGAAGGGCAAAGAATTCAGACAAGGACAAAGGCATCTCCTCAGTTTCTATGGCTTTCATTGCTCTTAACTCAAAATAATCTGCATGCTAAAATGGGGTGTCCTGAGGAAACCAATTCTGATAATCTTCGGGAGGTCTGATTTGGTTACCTTCATTACCATCTCATTTCATCCTCACCACAACAGAACAAGTAAGTACTACTGTCTCCACTTTACAAATAAGAAAATGAAGGCTTAGAAAGTGAAAGTCTTGGTTTGAGAGCTGTTGGGGAGAAAGCTAATCTTTCTCTACTCTTCTCCAAAAATCTGGTAAATAATTAAATTGAAAGGCGATTAGCAAAAGACAAACTGTTACAGAACCTCTTGAATCTAGAGCTTGCTTGTTTAGCCTTCCTGTTATTGTGCCCTCCATGCTAACAGGAATCCCACAAAATCACCAGTGAGAAAAAACCCTCCATTCTGTAGAAATTTCCAGTTTTCTGGCAATGGCTGCAAGAACTGACAACTGATAGATGTGCAGACTCAGGTGGCAGAGGATCTGACATAAAAGTGACTGAGGACTCATTAGAATGCTAAAATGCACACCTCTGGGTGGAGATTTAAGGAGCCACCGAGAAATCTGAAGTATTAAGACGCCTGTAACCTGTCTGTGCAAGCACCAGTCTAACCCAGCCTAAATCATGTTCTGACGCTGCTTCTGGCTCTCCTACTCTGGTAACGAGCCCCATAAAACTGGGACACCCAACACTCCCAGGCCAGGAGTCTGGCTCAGGGCAGCTGCAGCATCTCTCCTATTGCATGATCCACAACAAGCATTCCTTGCTTAAAACCTATCATTGCTCTTTCAAAATATGTGGGAGATTAATTGGTTCACTTTTATAGCTGTCCTAACATACACTAGTTTGAATTTAGTTTACATAGGTAGCCACAATGAGTCAATGACTTTAGGAATGTAATCTTTCTTGGTAGGAGTTAATAGTTCTAAATTGTCCAAACCTGAAGATATGCTGATGCTAGAGGAGGGCAATGTAGGCTTTAAGCTCTTCCTGGGTACCCACTGTTAAATCTTTTTTATCTGGCTCCTTGGTCATCAGTGGGCTTTACCTTCAGGCAGCAAATCCTTGCACATAAGATGAAGCCTTTGAAGATGGCTTTGCTTTCCTGCCTCTAAACCAAGGAGGGTGGGGTCCCAGAAAACTTCACGTTCCAGAATAGACTTTGCAAAGCCCTAGTTGGGAGTGGTTAGACTGTAAGATCGTCTCTCATCTTCCAGGTCACCAGAGATATTTATTTACTGTTTTGAGGGAAAAAAACACCATTCTTGGATCTTCTGTCTCTAAATTTCTTTCAACTCAAAATAATCGGCGTGCCACTTGGGTCTTTGCCCCTAATATAAACAGTAAGTAATGAAACCAAGCTTTGAACCCACCAGACTGAATAAAAGACCAGAGTGCCCTCCAGCACACCACAGCTACCACGGGAGCCAGTCAAACTTAATAATTAAAATACCTGGGGCGTTTGACTCCCAATTGCAACTCATAGATTCTTGGAGTCAGCAGGTTTCAGGCGAACTCAAATCAGCTGGCAGGGCCTCCAACGAGACAGCCCGGATTGCCTTCCCCGTTCATTCTTCCCTACCGCACGGGGCGCTGAAGGCCTACAATCTCCTTGGGAGGCCCTCCGCACCTCTCCAGAACCCCTCTTGCTTCTCCACACATCCACCCCGACCCACGGCGCAGGCGCCACCCCTCCGGGGCCCGCCCCGCCCTCTCGCCCCGCCCCCTCCCTGCCAGCGTCCACTGCGCAGGCGCCGCGGGCCTCACGTTGGGGCGGCGGCGCGCCCAGGAGGCAGGCCGCCTGATGGTTGGTCCGGGGCCTGCCACGTGGTCGCAGCGTCGCCGCGCGAGCGTGCGCAAAGAGGCTCAGCGCGCCCCTGACGGCACGGCGAGGCGTGGGGGTGCGCGACCTCGCCCGCCCGGCCCGGCCCCCGCCCCTTGGCTTACCGCTCCGCCCCCGCGGGGCGTCCCGGGCCGCTCGTCCCCTCGGCGGCGGCCGCGCGCGGCCCGGGGTCGCCGTGAGTACTCGCGAGGCCTGCTTGTGGGGCGGCCGCCACGGGGACGGGGCGGGGCGGGGCGGGGCGGCCGATCGCGGGAAGGGTGCGGGGCCCGCCCCACCTCGGCCGGGGTGGATGAAGTGAGGTGCCTGGACCGGTGGCTCTGAGGGGCCGGCCGAGGCTTGACAGGCTTCGCTCGCACCCAGCGGCTTGCAACACAGATCGGGCTCAGAGCTGTGCCTCCCGGGAGGCAGGTGTGGGGTGTCTTGGGCGTCTCCGGAGGAAGCCGGAGAAGACCACTAACTGCTCCTCTTAGGGAGGAGGCCTCAGGGCCTGTCCTGGAAGTGCGGGTGGCAGCTAGTGCTTTGGGGGTAACCCCGTCCTCTCCTTCTACCAGGTACCCGGGATAGCGCTAGCTGGTGAGAGTCGCCCCTCCTTGGCTTCTCCCCCGCACTCTTTGTTCAGTGGCCTAGTCTCTCTGAGAGGGGAGCACTTGAAATAGAGCGGAGTAAGCTCCATTCCCAGAACCACAAAGCTGGAAGTCAAACCCAGAGTTTAAACGTTGAGATGGGAGGCTGCTTTGAATAAATGTAAAGTTGTCCGATCTAGAAGCGCTCTTGCACCTACGGAAAGACCTTTGTCACCAAGACTTGAGGCTTATTTACATTTAGCTTATTGCCATGCAAATTCCTAAAGCCTTCTTTGTTAGCGGCCATCATCCAGATCGCTGAGCTGAACTACTTCGCTCTTCTCTCTCTGGGCACTCTTCACAGGTCTATATTTTGCCAAGCTTCTCTTGAAAAGTTCCCTCCTTCCCTCATTTAGATAAATCAGATAGGCCTTTCTTGTTTAATTCTTAACAGTTCCCTTAGTTAGTTATAACTATAACAAGTTAAATTGAATGTAATTAGGACGTGTCAAATGTGCTTAAGTCCCCTGGTCTGCTGTACTCCTGACCTTAAGCAAGTATTTTTAACCTCTGTGCCTGAGTGTTCTTTGTATGACATGAAAATTTTGAAATAGACCCTCTTTCAGGCATAGTCCTCCTTAAAATTTCTGGGATTTTGTGAGTTTTGTGACCCACCGCTCCTCTTTGCCCACTCTTCACTTTTTAAACCCATTTCCATCTCTCTGAAAACATTGTCATTGAGGCTAGAAGGTAGGAATCCCTTTTTTTGAAGCAACCTGATTTGGAAAAGCTGGTAGTCTGAATGGTCTCTTCCTTGGACCCCCCCCCCCCAAAAAAAAAAAACAAAAAAAAACACCTCCCTCTGAACTACCTTTTTCTCATTATAACAGCAGAAACCAAGCAGGAACAGCCCTTGGAGAAAGGCTAAGTTTTTCTTGACATCTACAGTGACAAAGACCTTGAAAAAGTTGGTACTTCTGGCCTACGCTGCCATCATCCTATCACCCAGCCCAAGACAGCCCAGGCTGGATGTTAGTGCCTCCCTCTTTATTCCTCTGTGATCATCCAGATCAGCACCTGACTGTTTATTTTCAAATCTCACAAATTCAGCTCCAGATCTTCATATTTGGAGTCTCAGCTGTACTTGAAGGTGAATGGAGTCTTGCTTTTTAAAATTAGTTTTGTATGATTTTGTCTATGTATAGATGCATTTAAGTTCTTGTATGTGTATCCCCTTGACTTAGTTATCCAGCACATGGTTCATTCATTCACTCATTCAATAAATGTGTGTTGAATATAAACAGTGAAAACAATTAAGACTCTGTCACTGTAGAACTTATGTTCTGGTAGGAGATAAATACTATAAATGTTTTATATGTCAGTGTGGTTAGGTGCTGTGGGAAAAAAGTAAAGCAGGGAACAGGACAGGGAGTGCTTAGTATTTGTGTGTTGGGGTATTGCTGTTTTATGGTGGTCAGGATGATCTTTAAGCAGAGATTTGAAAGAATGAAGGACCAAACCATGTGTAATCTTCCAGCTCTCACGTACAGTTGACTTTCTAGGGAGAGCCCCTGCAAGAGAATAACTGTAGCCTCTGATTTTAAAAATACTTTATTATGAAATTTTCCAACTATTAATATATACGAAGGTAGAATACATGCAACCCTAATTTACACCCATCGCTCAACTTTAATAATCAACATTTTGCCATAGTTTTATGATAGAGTAGTACTTTAAAGCAAATCTCAGATCATTTCATCTATAAGAATTTTAAGTTGTAATGTCCTTTTGCATACTGGTTTTGATAGATTAGGCAGTGTTATCAACTGGAAGACTGCTGTGCTGTTTGCTCTGTTTTGTGCCTTATTTCCCTATCCTGGATCAGTTACGAAGCTTATGTTGATATCTGAAGAATAGACCATAGGCTTTTGGAACTCAAGGATTTAGAATAATAGTTTTCAAATTTTGCCATGCATCAGAATAACTGAGAGGGCTTAAAACAGATTAGTGGACCACAATCTTTGGAATTTGTAGATCAGTATGTCTTAGGTGGGGACTGCTCTTAAGATAGCTTTGCTGTCCTGTGCTATTAGAACCATCATAATTTGACAGATGAAAAATACTTTCTACTGTATGTGGAGGTTTCAGTAAGACTAAAAGTTGTGGTAGAGTGTTGGAGCAGGGGAATTGTATAGGAAAGGACTAAGAGTTAGTGGTTTTTTTTTTTTTAAAGATTTATTTATTTATTTATACAAGCATTGGGTACAGTGAGACGCGCGGGAGGGTGAGAGAATTCACCAGAGCCAGAGCGGGGAGCAGAGCAGGCAGAAGGACCGAAGTACACTGCTGAGGGGAGCAGCGGGCGGCAGGAGAGGTCTGCGCGCCATGTGGGACCCTCCTCCGGTGGCCGGGGAGCAGCCGGGGATCGAACCGGCGCTGCAGAGGCTGCGGGCAGCTTCGTAACCCAGCGCTTAACCGCTGTGCCACCTGGGAGGCCCAAGAGTTAGTGTTTTTATGAGGTTTTTTTTTTGAGATCATGATAGCATTTTTATTTGGGGACTAGATTCCCTGGGCATTACTTTGGCTCTGATAACTCAGACCATGTGTACCTGAGGATTTCCTTTTAAAGTTAGCCGTGATGGTCATATCAAAATACTGATGCCAGTGTTTAAAAAACAAATAATGACTTAAGCTGGAGAAATTACTAGAGATAGAGAGTCTAAAAAGAACCTAATTTTGATGTGAGCTGTTACTGTGAAGAATGTTCCAAAATGGAGTACTGTAATCTGGTACTGCCACCATCAATTTTGACTTGAGTAGTTGTTAAAGCAATATTAACTCAAACAGGGACTTGCTTCAATCCCATGCCTCCAGCTTAAATGGAACAGTACTGTCTTATATTTGTATAGTGTTTTTGTGGTTTATTATCTGAAAAGAACTATGTATACAAGTGTGTGTGTCCATGCATGTCTCCTTTTGTGCAAGTATCTGTACATCTGTATAATAAAAGTGTATCTGTAAACATGTGTGCCTGTGTATACACCGCCCAGCTATTAAGTGGTGATGAAACCAATTGTTGTCTACTTTCCACAGGACAGTGACTTGTTACAACAGCAGAGCCTACCATCCCCAGCAGATCTCCAGTCAGCCCCTGACATTGTCCCTTCCCTTGTCTCCCTTTGTGGCCTCCTAAATGCCCATCTCGTTGGCCTGGGTTCAGCTGGTGGTATGGAGGGGTGCTGCCTAGCACTGAACTGGGAGTGTGTGTGACCCACTGACCCAATGGTGAGAACTGACTGCCCACTGCTCCAACTGATTATCCAGGGGGTAAATGGGACAAAGCGCAGACCTCAACCTTTTCCTGATATTTTCCCTCCCACCTTTTTGGAAGATAGAGTGGCTATTTGAAGTTGAAGAAGAGGCATAGGAACAGTGTTACAGTAGTCCCCCTTATCTTGGCTTTGCTTTCCATGGTTTCAGGTACTCATGGTCAACTGAAAGTATATACAATAAGAAATTCACCTAACTTTTATTATGACATACTGTCTTAATTATTCTACTTCATTTTTAGTTATTCCTGTTAATTTCTTACTCTGCCTAATTCATAAATTTTATCATAGGTCTGTAGAATAGAATAGTATATATAAGGTTTGGTACTATCCATGGTTTCAGACATACTCTGGGTGCCTTGGAGTGTTAACCCTGTGGATAAGGGAGGACTAATGCACTTGGGTATATGTATAGGTGGATTTTCTTGGGAAGGAAGGAGAGAATACTTAGAATACTTAGAAAGACATAGAAGAAGGGTGATGAGATAGGAGAGCTTAGGTGTTTTTGGGAGCTGTTGCCTTGGGTGAGGATCCTGAAAGAGGCCAGCTTGTACTCAAACCTAGATATGACTAGGAATCAACCTTGACATTGAAGTCTTACACATCCCTCCCTCACTGGCTACCAGAGCCTCAATCATCATAGCAAAACCAAAATTCTCTACCGTTTTCCTCCATCCCACCAACTCAGGACTAGACCATAAATATGACCAGAGTCAGGAAGAGACAGATCCTCCCAAAGGGTGAGGAGAAGGGAATAGTAAAGGGATTAGGGCCTCAGTTATTCTATCCCAAGGGACCTTCTCACATTCTTTGTGGGAATCTTTCCCATTTTATCACCCCACTGTGTTCCATGGGATAGCAAGAACCAAACAAAGGGTTATATCATTTTTCATCACTAGGACATCAAAGGCCAGTTCTGGAATGATGATGATTCGGAGGGAGATAACGAATCAGAGGAATTTCTCTATGGAGTTCAGGTGAGGTTAACCCCCCAGACCTGTGTTGGATGGTCTAGAGGTGTGCTTCTATCTGGATATACCAGGAGTGAAAGATTATTCTGGAACAAAAGTGAGATGAGGATATTATGTTAGTGTGGTCTGAGCATGGTCTTGTCAGAACTGATCTCATATCCTTGCACCTGCCTGACCCTTAAACCTTTCCTGCTCATCGAAGCTACCCATTTGCACTTAGCTGGCAATTTATTATTTTCTGACTCTTCCTCACTAGCCATTTCATTCATTAATGTCAGACTTAAAAGATTACCCTGCCAGTGATAACATAATGCTGTCACTACCCAGGGCATGACCCTGAGCAGGAATGCTGTACTCTTCAGAGGGAACCAATCTGAGTTGAATTCATTTCAACCTCTTGTGAGTTCTACAGAAGGAACACCTATGTATCTAGTTAAGGTTTGAGAAGCAAAGCTAGAGACTAGGATCTGAACTACTCAAGCAAAGCTTGTAGTCTTCTAGAATTTCTTAAAAGTGGGAATGGAGAGAGATTTATCTGTCAGTAAAATCCCCAGCTGGTGCCACCACTGAGAACCTTATGTAAGCAGCTGTATGTGCTGCTGCTGTTTGATTTTCCTGTGTTTGTTTTTTTGTTAGTGTTTAATGTTTCCCATTCTGTCTCCCCACTCCCACCACCACCACCACCTTTGCTGCTGACTCAGGGGAGCTGTGCAGCTGACCTGTATCGACACCCACAGCTTGATGCAGACATTGAAGCCGTGAAGGAAATCTACAGTGAGAACTCTGTATCTATCAGGTGGGACTCCAGGGATGACAGGGGAGCAAACCACTTCTTTCTGAATTGTTATAAGGCTAGAGGTTTTTTCTTTAGTTATGGTGTGATGAGTATCTGTGGACACAGCTAAATTGTTAATGGTAGTGGGAGTTGCTCACAATATTTAAAGTTAGCGGGACAGGAGTGAGTAGGGAAGTATAATGAGTTTAGGACAGTATAGTACTCTTAACCTCAACTCCTCTAGGCTGATACTTTCACCTTTGAGATAATAAGACCTTCTGACCTGGAGAAGTCACATAAGTGACTTGAATCTGTAGCAGGGTCTAGAGTCAGAGCTGTCTTCCACCTTCCCCTTTCCCCTGTCCCCAGGTTCAGTTCTCCCTCCACCTCAGTCTCTGTTCCTCTCTCTCTCCCTCAATGAGTCTCACCTGTGATCACCTGTATCTCTATAGAGAATATGGAACTATCGATGACGTTGACATTGACCTCCACATCAACATCAGCTTCCTCGATGTAAGTGGTGCTAGTACTTGCCAACAACGTCTAGCTGGACTTTTGGATTTTGTCATGTAGGCCAGGAGTCTTGTTCCTGAATGCTATATTTGGAGCACATATTCTTCATCCCTGTCTTTCCTAGACCATCAGCAGACAGTGGTGTGTACTGTCATGTGCATGTCTGTCATATAGGGAAAACTTCAAATCCATTCCTCTGTTGCCAAAATATTAATTCTTTCCTTTTCTCTTAGGAGGAAGTGTCAACAGCCTGGAAGGTCCTCCGTACGGAACCCATTGTGTTGAGGTTGCGATTTTCTCTCTCCCAGTACCTTGATGGACCAGGTAAAGGCTGTGACTTTGGACAAGTGGGTGCTCTGAATATGATCTAATCCCAGTTCTAAGCTTAGTAAGGTAGAGAAAAGTAGGAAGGGACAAGGTCCTGGGCTCAATGTGCAGGTCATTTGTAGGGGCATTGCAGTCTCCTGTCACCTAATAGCCATCCTCAGAAGGCTGTCTAGGTTTAATGAAATTACTTTGTTTCCCAGATATCATTTATTTCTCCCCTTCCCTTCAGCTTCCTACCGAGACTATTTGAAATGAATCAGACAGCTCCCAGAATCTACTCTCTGCCTCAGATGTTTCCTCCTCCATTACTGTTTAGCGTCCCCTTAGAATCTGAGGAAGCTAAGTCACTGAACTATCTTGGGAGGACAAAGATGTACATACTAGGAGCTTTCTCTTTTCTTTGCAGAACCATCAATTGAAGTTTTCCAGCCATCGAATAAAGAAGGATTTGGGCTGGGTCTTCAGTTGAAAAAGTAAGAATTCTGATCTTTCTGTGCATGTCTGTGTCATATAGGGAAAACTTCTAATCCATTCCTCTTCCCGAGAGGGAAGAGAGACAGACATTTGTATATACAGGCAGACCATTGGATGACTGTTTCCTTCCAAAAATGTCCTTCTGAACTAAGCCCAAGAAAGACTAAAATAAATTGAGGAGCCAGATTTATGGGTAGGTTGGGGGAACCTGTAGTTCTGAAGTATCTGGCCTTGAGACTTCTGGAAGTAAGATGGGAGGCAGACCAGTACTTAGCTTTTAAGGAAAAGTATAACCCTGGGATTAGATCCACGTTCTTCACATCTCTCCTTACAGTTTTTCTGAGTGGAGCACTAGGAAGTTGGACATTTTTAGTTTGTTGAATGCATTGAGCACCTTGGGAAGTATTTGGTATATCAGAGAAGTGAATCACTGATTCTACTCTTTAAAGTTTCAAATAGAGACCAGTGGACATGTGTTCTAATACAAGTAAGTTTGTAAGGTTTAGAAAGAAGGAATCTGGTGGCAGTTAGAGGGCTGTGAATGAAAGATTACAGGGGAGGTGGTAATTGATTTTCAAGGATGAGTAAGAATTGTCTGTGTAGACAGACTCTGGGAGTGAGTCTTGCAAAGGTAGTCAGGTGAAGCAGCGTCTGTGGTATGGGGGCTTCAAGTAAATGCAAGAGGAGAGTGATAGGAACTGAAGCCAAAGTTAAGTAGAAAGAGGTCCAAAGCAGAGCGATCTTGGATCTTTATCTTTTAGGCATTTGGGAGCCTTATAGGTTTTTGAGCAAAGGAGTGACATAGTCGGATTTAGTTTTAGGAAAACCATCTGGTAGCATAGTGAAAAATTGGTCAGAGGGGCTGAGAGTAGTACGAGTCTAGACATGAGACAATGGAGGCCTGAACTACAGTGTGACTGTAGGGCCTCCCTGGTGGCGCAAGGGATTAAGCACAGCCTGTGAAGCTATCCGCAGCCTCTGCAGCATGAGTTCGATCCCCAGCTGGCTGTGGAGCTACCCACATGGCACAGCAGACCTCTCCTGTCTCGCCCGCTACTCCCCTCAGCAGTGTGTTTCAGTCTGCCTGTTCTGCTCCCCACTCTGCCTCTGGTGAATCCTCTCAACCCCACACCTCTGGCCTGTACCCCACTTCTTATATGCATAAATAAATAAATAATTTTTTTTAAAAAGCGTGATTGTAGGTGAGAATAGTGACACATCAGAGACATTAGTGGGGTGTAAAAATCAATAAGATGTGAAGACTGGAGTCTCCCTAGTGTTACAGGGGTTAAGGTCTCAGCGCTATCTAACCGTTGCCAGACACTGTGGTAAGAGTTTGATCCCCAGCCAGGGAACTGATCCACATGGCGCAGCAGACCACTCCTGTCTCGCCCATTGTTCCTCTCAGCAGTGGATTTCAGTAGATCCGCCTGTTCTGCTCCCCACTGTCTCTCTGGTGAATCCTCTCACACCTCTGGCCTACACCCCAGTTCTTGTATGCATAAATAAATAAATCTTTTAAAAAAAAGAAAGACTAGAAAGAGAATAGTGTCACTGAAACGAGAGAGGAGAGTTTCTACAAGGAGGGCCAGGTGCCCAGAGGATACAAAAAGAACTTAGAAGTTTCTGTTGGACTTTAGCATCAAGGAGCAATTATAGTAAAGTAGTGAAAATAGAAACCAAAACACAGTAAGTTGAGAAGTGAGGGATTGACAATGGGGTAGAAACATTAAGTATAGATTGAGAAATTTGGATGACGATAAGAGAGGAAGATGTACAGGTAGCTAGATTGAGGTCCAGAAACTTGAAACATTTTGTAGACTTTGGGAAAGGACTGACAGAAAAAGGGGAAGGATAACTGACAGATCAAGATACTAAAGAGAAAAGCTCTGAGATGTAGAGGACAGAGCGTCACCTTGTCTGCAGAGAATGATGAGATCAAGGTAAGGATGGAAATGGAAGTCATTTTTGTAGTATCGTTGGAAAATTAAGGAACTGGTATCTAGCTTCAGTTTTCTGCTTAAGAGGAGAAAAGATTATCAGTTGTAGGTGAAATTTGTAGCTTTAAAGAAGGGGTTAAGGATTTAGAACAAAGCTTAGAGGAATGCTAGAGAGTACTGTTGAAGGACAAGTGAAAGGATTTATAAGACTAACTGAGGGCTCAGCTCAAGTTGGAAACCATAAATTTGGGGATGTAACATTGTCAGTGTCTCTCATATCCCAAGTCCTTTTCTTCGCTATTCCCAATGCAGAGGGTTGTTCTCACCAACTCCATCCCACCACTTCTATTCCATTCTCAGTATAGTTATTCTTTTATTTTTTTGAAGATTTATTTATTTACGCACACAAGAACTGGGGCCAGAGGTGCAGGGGGTGAGAGGATTCACCAGAGACGGAGTGGGGAACAGAACAGATGGATTGACTGAAATACACTGCTGAGGGGAGCAGTGGGGGAGGCAGGAGAGGTCTGCTGTGCCATATGGGTTGCTCCCTGGCTGGGGATCAAACTTATGCTGCAGTGGCTGCAGATAGCTTCATAGTGCTGTGCCTTAACCCCTTGCGCACCAGGGAGGCCCCTCAAGTAGTTATTCTTGGTGTTAAATTGCAAGGTTGAAATTGAAAGCTTACCTTTAAGATCTCCTTCTGGAGGCAAATACTTGTCAAAATTTTTCTTGTCCATTAGACTAAGTGGCTGTGTGCTTACTTACCCTCTAGGGTAAAGAGGTACTTTAGAGGGCCTCCCCGGTGGCGCAGTGGTTGAGTGCTGGGTTGCAAAGCTGCCTGCAGTCTCTGCAGCACCGGTTTGATCCCCGGCTGCTCCCCGGCCACCGGAGGAGGGTCCCACATGGCGCGCAGACCTCTCCTGCTGTCCACTGCTCCCCTCAGCAGTGTACTTCAATCTGCCTGCTATGCTCCCCACTCTGGCTCTGGTGAATTCTCTCACCCTCCTGCGCTTCTGACTGTACCCAGTGCTTATATAAATAAATAAAAATATATCTTTTAAAAAAAAAAAAAAGAGGTACTTTAGAGCAGTGCATTTCCTTGTGCTAAGGTCATCTTCAGACTCACATTCCTCTCCCACACTAGCTTTGTATTTCAGTTTAGCTGTTTTTTTCATAGTCCTGTTTCTTAACTTAATCCCCTGTTTGAGCTTTCCTAAACCTGCTCTTTTTAACTCCTATTTAACTTTTAGGATCCTGGGTATGTTCACATCCCAACAATGGAAACATCTCAGCAACGATTTCTTGAAGACCCAGCAGGAGAAGAGGCACAGTTGGTTCAAGGCAAGTGGTACCATCAAGAAGTTCCGAGCTGGCCTCAGCATCTTCTCACCCATCCCCAAGTAAGTGCTCTCCCCGGAGCTGGTCATCTTGAATTACTTTAATCTTATCTTAGCCCCCATCCCATCTTCTTAATTACCTAAACTTACATATCCTGTCCTCTCCCTAGGTCCTTTCACTTTTGTGCCTTTACTAATATCACCCACATAATCCTGCCCCCCTGTGTCCTCACCTTCTACTCCTGACTTAATATTTGTATTTCATCCTTTATGTAAAACTCTATACCTAGCTTATGGTATGTATTTGGAGAAATACATTTTAACCTCTCCATCTTTTATTTCTTTGGTCCTTATTATTATTACCTAAGAACGCAGAGACAGTAGGTAGGCATCAAGCCTTGCTCTTATGCAAGGATTTATTTATTATCTAGATTTTGGAAATACATATTGCTCCATCAGATCCCAGGCCCCCGCACCTTCTGATCTTTCAAAGGCAAATGCAGTCCCAAATTTGTAACTTCTCAGGCACAATCATTGCCTGACATTGGACTTGGGTGCAGTGTTTAGTACTTGCTCATATTTGAGTACTTTCATTTACTCAGTATACTCACACTGAGTAAATGAAACATGTATCTTCTTCAGAGTATCATTCCATACATAACTTGAATGCCATAGAGTGTGATTTAGACTTCGCCTCTCCCTGTCCTCCATGTTCCAATCTGAAGACCATAAGATAATGATATAAAATCTATTCATATGAATGATCTACTTGTTTTTACAGTGTTTAAAATCCACGAAACTGAGTTCTTTGACTTAGGTCATTTCACCTAACTTGGCCTAGGTTATACTTATTACCAGTCCTCCTCCAGAACTCATACTGAATACCCATTTTATAATTTCTCTTTGCTTATTCTCCAGGTCTCCCAGTTTCCCTATCATACAGGACTCTATGCTGAAAGGCAAACTGGGGGTACCAGAACTTCGGGTTGGGCGCCTCATGAACCGTTCCATCTCCTGCACCATGAAGAATCCCAAAGTGGAGGTGTTTGGCTACCCTCCCAGCCCCCAGGCAGGTCTCCTGTGCCCCCAGCACGTGGGCCTCCCTCCCCCAGCTCGGACCTCTCCTTTGGTACATGTGCTGGGGAGGGTTTTACTTGGGTATCAGGAGGGTGAGAGTGGAAATGTGAGAGTGTCATTTCTCAGAATGGGGTTGGGGGTGTGGTTGTTCAGGTACCATAACAAACCTGAGCATGTAGCGTGAGTGTGTGGGATGGGACACATTTTTTTAATAGCTAAAAGCTGATATCTAAACTGTCGGGGTGGGACCACTCTGGTGGCCTAGGGGTTAAGTATCAGCACTATCACTGCTGTGGCCTGAGTTCCATCTCCAGCTAAGGAGCTAACCCGCAAATGGCCAGCAGACCTCTCCTGTCTCGCCTACTGTTCCCCTTAGCAGTGTATTTCAGTATATCCATTTTGCTCCCCACTCTGTCTCTGGTGAATCATCTCATACCCCCATACCTCTGGCCTATGCAAAAATAAATAAATAAATAAACAAACAAATAAATAAATAAGCAAGCTGTCAGGGTAAACAACTCTGATAGTAGGCCATGAAGTAGTCTGGGGTTGGGCATCCCAAGGAGAAATCTTGAATGGTTTTATTAGGTTGTGGTTAAGACTTGATAGTCAATTGCTACTCTAACCTGTTTTAGCTACATTAAAGAGGTTTAAGGACAGGTGAGCCCTTTTCCAGAACCTTTGGCAAATATGTCAGCCTTCTGTCTCACTTTTTGATTACGTAGTCTGATTAGAGCTCAAGTTTAGTTGCTTTAGGAAACTCCTGACTGAAAAGTGTGAGTGAGGTCTGTCTAGGCACCAACTTCATAGGAGTCTCATGGGGTCTGTTTTTTTACTCTCATTAGGTCAGTGGTCACTGCAAAAACATCCCCACTCTGGAGTATGGATTCCTTGTCCAGGTAATCAAGTTCATTCTAAAGTCCTCCTACTCTTCTGTGACCCACCTGACTTAAGGAGTATTTCCTGAGTTGCTGTCCTCTAAGAACTATATAAGTGTTATAAGGAGGAAAGAAAGCATAGTCCCATCTTGAAGACAACACTTACAGACTGGTTATAATTAAGTGCATATGTGGCACTGCACAGACGAGGGACGGAGTCACACTAATTTCCTTATGATCCTCAGCATCCTTGCTCATGTGGTCTTCAATTTTCCTCATAGACGGCTTTCATTGCTGGGTCGCTACTGCTGCTTTATTAAGTCTCTATTCCCTGGACTTTGGCATCTCTGCTACCTTTCTTATGTCATTCCCTACACTGCAGTCAAGATTCAGGTGCCACCTTTTCTGTAAAATCTCCATTATTCCAACTGTATTAACTGGAATGATGTTTCTTCTCACTAACGTGCCATGTGTTGCCTTGACTTGTAATCAGTTTGCATATTTGCCATATCTCCCCTGTTGGAGTGTAGGGTCTTGGAAGATACTGTTACATTATTTCAAAATCAAGGAGACCTTTCACCAAGCTAGGTACAGACTAGGCATTCAACAGATCTGCATTAAATAACTGAATAAAAACCTTCATGTCCCTTTCTTAGCCAAAAAGTATGTGGAATGGGGACAGCTTGATTTATACACAAATTGTACCTGCTTGAAAAAACTATATTAAGACAGTGTTTAAAAAGGAAACAGAACTTCAGGCTATTGCTGCTTAACTTTTGGATTTGTGCTTTTTCCCAACAGAGTTCTATCTGTGTTTTGACCAGTAGACAGGTTGATTGTTCTAGATAGTTGAAATGGCTGCTTAGACCCCCTGCTGGCTGATCATGGACCAAATACTTGTCCTGGAAAGACAGGCTATAACTGCTATAGCTGATGTCAATAGTGTGATTAGTACCTGTTAATGTTTATAAAGTACTTTTTACAGAAATCATCTTATCACTCTCAATCACTTTATGAAGTATATAATGCCCCACTTTTTAAGTAAAGAAACCAATGCTCAGGTTAGCTGATGTATTAGTGTATATGTAGTGTTAAGTAAGGGGGGGCATCTTAACCCATGGCTGGTCTTATTTTTACTCTACTGTATAGTACTAGCACTGTAGTCAGAGTCTAATAATAGATTCTACCTTGTGCACAGGGCTAGGAGAAAAGAGTGTAGCTGGAATAGAAGCTGACATTATTTCCCATATCTGTGCCTGTACTTCCAAAAGACTTAATAGAATCTCTTCTCTCCCCAGATCATGAAGTATGCAGAACAGAGGATTCCAACATTGAATGAGTACTGTGTGGTGTGTGATGAGCAGCATGTCTTCCAGAATGGGTCCATGCTCAAGGTATATGTCCCTATTCCTTGATCTGAGCACAACCTCTTTTTTTTTTTTAATTAATAATAAATTTTATTTTTATATTCCCCATACAATTTCAACCCCCCCATTCTGACCCCAGTCCCTCCCTCCTGCCCCCCACCCCCCATGAGCACAACCTCTTTATTCCTCATATCTTCTTTCTTCCTGGGTCTAAGATAAAGGCAGAATTCTATCCATACTTCTCTCATGAAACAAATCTCAACAGTACTGTTTAGAAGGGTGAGCAAATGTGAATAGTTCTGCAGATATAATCCCCACTCAAGATTTAAAAATAGGAATCAGATATTGATGAAAATGATTGGATATGATTGTTGTCCTCTGGGACTCCAAGTTAGTCACTTTGCTATAAGAGTATAGAAGAAATACTAGCAGTGTTGTGGAAATTCATAAAAGAGAGCATCTAACTACCTCTCTTCATAATGGAGACAGCATTAATACTTCACTTATTTATGGTTTTCTCCTAAAGTAGAAAATCCCAAATTTCTACCTTATTCTAGAATTGTCTGAAGTCAGGATGGTCCCTTTTTCCCTCCAGTTCCTTGTTTCACACTCCTACACCACCATCTGTTTAATATGTCCATTTAGCCGGCCGTCTGTACTCGTGAACTGTGCGTTTTCTCCTTCTACACCCTGGGAGTCATGTCTGGAGCTGCAGAGGAGGTGGCCACTGGAGCAGAGGTATGGGCATAGGGAAAGCTGCTGGGAAACTGGGATCAAGAAAGGCAGGGAAACCCAGCACTTTCACTGCTTGCAATTTAACTGTCAGAAATACTTTCCTGTGTTAGGATGTTCACTCTAATATTATGTGTGATGGTAAAAAATGTGTACAACTCCATCTGTAGGGCATCCAGTTAAAGAAATGTATGCCTTTAGTAAAATATTTCAGAAATATTTCATAGCTATTTATGGATGGGAAGTTATTAAAAAAGGAAATACAACAGTATATGTAGTGTAATTCTTTTTTTAATTGCCTATTTATATTATAATAATGTTCCATAGAAATAATATTTGGAAGGCTATATATCAATCTTAGCAGTAATTACATGTGAGGAATGAGATTTGTTTGGGGGCAGTAAAATGCTTTTTGTCTTCTCTGTAATCTCTTTTTAAATCATTATGAATTGAAATTTTATAATGAGCTTGTATTTTCTAATTAAAAATTATGAACATATTTACCTTTAAAAACAATAGTGGAGAGAAATACTGAGAGACCCCAGAAGGTAGATCTATGCTGGGTATTCCTGTGTGAATCTCAATACTAGGAAATCACTTAGCTTCTGTCTCCTTTCTTTCCATTCTTCTAAGGTGGTGGATCTGCTGGTGGCCATGTGTAGGGCAGCTTTGGAATCCCCTAGAAAGAGCATCATCTTTGAGCCTTATCCCTCTGTGGTGGACCCCACTGATCCCAAGACTCTGGCCTTTAACCCTAAGGTATAGTTATGTGGGAGGAAAGTCAAAGTTAAGGAATAATAGGAGATCATAGGCCTTCATTCCATGATACACACAGCTTGGAATAAGAAAAGATGAAATTGAACACTTGTTTCTTGGGAACACTCAAACCCTAAGCGTTAGCTGTTTTAATGAGTAAATAACTCAGTTTGTTGAGGGGGGGGTTCGATGGGGGAGAACTAATGTTAATTACGTCACTATTAGGGAAGAATATAAGCTTAGAGTCCAACACACTTAAATTCCATTCTGAGATTCTGCTGTTACCTAGCTGAATGCTGTTAGGCAAGCCAGTTTGTGAACTTCAATTTCTTTATTGTAAGCAGGGGATATTATCTATAGTGCAGAAAGTTGTCAAAATGAGAGATAATGTATGTGAAGTACAGTGTTAGTTTCGGTTCTCCAGAGAAACAAAACCAATAGGAGATTTATTATATGAAATAGACTCATGTGATTATGAAGGCTGCAGTCAGCAAGCTGCAGGACCAGAGAACTGGTTTTGTAAGTTCCAATCCATAAGCCAATAGGCTTGAGATCCAAGAAAAGCTGATTTTACAATTCCAATCTGATATCAGGGAAAAAACGCCCCAGCTCCAGGAAGTCAGGAAGGAGGGGTTCTCTTATACTCAGCCTTTTTGCTCTATTCGGTATTCTATGTATTCAGTTGATTATATGAGGCCCACTGAATTAGGGAGGGCACAGTCTACTTTTTCAAAGGTTAATACCATGTAGAAACACCTTCACAGATGCACCCAGGATAATACTTCATCAAATGTTTGGGTACTCCTTGGTCCAGTCAAGTTGACACAACATAATTAACCATTGAGTAACCATCAGAGTTTCTGCCACAGTGCCTTATTGCTATATATCAGGCACTGTATTAGGTTCTTTACATATGTTATTTAATGCTCAGAACATTTTTGTGGGAGTGATGGGACTTTTTGTTTTCATTTACACGGAGTTGGTAAAAGAGAACTAGCATATGATTCCAGAACTATGTGGCAAGAATTCTGTGTTCCTTCAATGACATACTGCAGTGTTTCCCTGGGGTTTAGACTATTCTGTCCATCTATCCTCCTTTTCATTGGCATCTTACTCTTCTCCACTCTTCTTCATATGGTTCTTTATTTATTTATTTTCCATAGAAAAAGAATTACGAGCGACTTCAGAAAGCTCTGGATAGTGTGATGTCCATCCGGGAGATGACCCAGGTATTCTTTCTCTCTGTCCCCTGCATGCTGCCTGCCTCACTCAAGTGTATCCTATTCTGCTTAGAATTTTTGGGAGTCAGGTGAAGATTTAAGGATGCTATTTAAATTCCTCACTGTGTTTTCTTTAGTCTTCCCTCTTTATTTTTTTAAGATTTATTTATGTATGCATACAAGAACTGGGGTACAGGCTCAGAGGTGCAGGGGGTGAGAGGATTTACCAGAGACAGAGTGGGTAACAGAACAGGCAGATCTACTGAAATACACTGCTTAGGGGAGTAGCGGACCAGTCAGGAGAGGTCTGTTGTGCCATGTGGGTAGCTCCCAGGCCCGGGATCAAACTCGTGCTGCAGTGGCTGTGGGATAGCTTCACAGTGCTGCGCCTTAACCCCTTGCGCCACCAGGGAGGCTCTAGTCTTCCCTCTTTAGCTTCACAATTCTTGTTCTCTGTTTTGTTAGGGTTGTTACTCCTCTTTCTTTCTTCTAATGTGTCTCTTAACCTTTACCTTTGCTACTAATTCTTTCACAAGTTGTTCATATTTAATGTTTTCCCCATAATTCTTAGGAATTAGAAATGGGAGAGATCTCTGCCCAGGGCTGGGAGGGTAAGGTGTGGGGGCTTGGAAGTAAGGAACTGGATCTAGGGGCCTACACCTTCTAAAGGTGGGGTGGCCACATGAAGCAGTGACCATCCTTTGACCAAGACTGTCCCTCACCAGACTTCCCCACCCCTTGTCTGCAATTTCTGCATGAATAGGCATTCATTTGTACTCACATTTATATGTGGGCCTCTTCTCAGCAAATCCTTTATGTCACAGTTCAGAATAACACATAAGATAAACCGAGGAGAGATGATTTATTTGTCAGAAGGACTTAGCTTTATGTAAAGTTTTACCACTGGATTCCTTAGCTTTAATCTTTTGGGGATATTGATTTTATTTATTTTTGTATTTGCAAACAACTTTTTAGGGCTGTAGGAATTGCATAAAATGAGGGTGACCACCTGCATGTTGTTTTGTAAGCACCTTCAGTCATTTTCATATTTATGAGTCTTCCCAGTCTGACTGGGCTTCTTTTTTTTTTTTTTTTTAAGATTTATTTATTTATGCATATAAGAACTGGGGTACAGGCCAGTGGTGTGGTGGGTAAGAGGATTCACCAGAGACAGAGTGGGGAACAGAACAGGCAGATTGACTGAAATACACTGCTGAGGGGAGCAGTGGGCAAGTCAGGAGAGGTCTGCTACACCATATGGGTTGCTCCCTGGCTGGCCGGGGATCAAATTCATGCTGTAGTGGCTGCGAGTAGCTTCATAGGTTGTATCTTAACTCCTCGTGCCACCAGAGAGGCCCTGACTGGGCTTCTTGAGGGTGGGAACCCTATTTTCTCTTTCCTTAGTGTGGCCTTCAGTTCCTATCTTGCTCTGGGCTCCCACAGTCAGTCTCTGGAAAGCAGGAGGGCTCCCACCTCTCTTTGGAGGTAACCTTATGGTCACTGTCTTACAGGGCTCATATCTGGAAATCAAGAAGCAGATGGACAAGCTGGATCCCCTGGCCCATCCTCTCCTGCAGTGGTAATGACAAAATGCCTCATTTTTGAAGGAGGGTGGGGGTTGTATTGGACATGGAGCCTACATCTTCTCTTCGAGGCAGTTTCAGCATACTTCCTAAAGGTATCAATTTTATGGCTGCCCTTTCTTGGGTTCTATTGACATACCTGGCCTTGAAAAAAATTCAGATACTAGGGATCCCACAAATTCTGACATGTCTCATGTTCTCCTTAGGTGTTTTCTTGTGTCCCAGTAGGTAGTTGAGTACCCCTTGGATTTAGGAATTAACACTGTTCACTTCAGTTAAGTTTTCTATGCATCCAGAGAAGTTTTGTTTCTTCCTTCTACTCCCTTGCCCTGTCTCAAGTCCTTCCTCGAGGCACCATTGTTTTTTTTTTAAGATTGATTGATTTATGAATACAAGAGCTGGAGTGTAGATCAGAGGTGTGGGAAGCTAGAGACAGAGTGGGGAGCAGAAAAGGCAGATTGACTGAAATACACAGCTAAGAGGAGCAGCTAGCGAGACAGGAGAGGTCTGCTGCACCATGTAAGTTAGTTCCCTGGCTGGGGATCAGACTCCTGCTGCAGTGGCTGTTGATAGCTTCATCGCGGTGAGACTTAACCCCTTGCGCCACGAGGGAGGCCCCTAAGCACCATTGTTAACAAAGGTTCTGGCCATCTTCTACTGTCTCCATCCCCCCTCCTCTACCTCTCTGAATTTGATTTCTGTTCTGTTGTCCTGATGTAGTTTTCCCCTTCTAACTTGTTTCCTTCTTCCTTGTTAGTCTTTGGCATCAGTTCTTTCTCAATGCAGTGACCAAGCATAGACCATCTAGGAGGGCATAACAGGTATATAGATGAGGCACAAAAATCAAAGTATATCCACTTTAGGAGATAATGTTTCCTTGCTGAACCCTAATGTTTTATGTCTTTGTTTTCTGTCTTCTCACTTCATCCAGCATATAGTGCAGTCTGACCTTGAATCCGTAGACAGTTTTAGTTTCTTCTGTTTCTTTTTCTAGCTCCCAAAATAACTTTCTCTTCATTCTTCCTAATCCCTGAGAACCGTCAGGCTTCCCCTGAGAATAGGTAGCATGGCTACTGGGCCATAATTTTAAATTTCTAAATCCCAAGTATAAGTCGCCACCCTAATACATGCTCCTTTCTGTTTTTTTTCTCTTGTGTAGCTTAACCCTTGTGCTCTTCCTCTTGTCCTATCCTCAGTGTAGTAGTACACCTTCTATTCCTTTCATTCATTTTTTAAAAACAATCTAGTAACCTACTGGTATTTGGCCAGTAGCTTCCCTTTCATATTTTTAGACACATGCATTTCCAACCACAAAACCTCCAGATAGTAACCTTGGCATTTTACATAATTCACACAGCTCGGGGATACTTGGCTTATTCTTCCAGGGGCAGAGCAAGGCTTCTGCTTTGTTCACAGGGCCTAGCCATGCTTATTTTATCCTCTTTTTTTTTTTTTTTTTTCTGTTTTATCCTAGGATCATCTCTAGCAACAGGTCACACATTGTCAAACTACCTCTCAGCAGGGTAAGTGACCTTTCTCCCACTAACCTTTTAAAATTTCTGGTGAGAGGCAGGGAGGGGCTCTAAACCAGCTGATCACACTGGTCCTAGATCTGCCTAGTTTGCTCTGTTCATTAACAGTAGTCTTTGGACCTATGTATATTTCCCTCAATGCAAGCCTGAGTTATTCCCTAACCCCCACCCTTCCCTCCCTGATCTCGATTTCTGCTCTGTTTTCTGATCCAACCCCCACCCTGGGCAGCAGCTGAAGTTCATGCACACCTCACACCAGTTCCTCCTGCTGAGCAGCCCTCCTGCCAAGGAGGCTCGGTTCCGGACCGCCAAGAAGCTCTATGGCAGCACCTTTGCCTTCCAGTGAGGAGGGTGGGGACTGTGTTTGGGATTGGGGGGTTGTGTAGGAGACAAACAGAAAGCAAGTTCCATTAAGGTATATGCGTTTGTATTATCTATATCCATCAACCATTTGGTCAGCTAATACTTATTAAATGTTATTTTGTGCTAAATGGTAGGTGCTATAGAGTATTGAAAGATATGAGTATGGTCTCTGCTCTCAAGCTTGTTGGTATATAGTTGAGGAGAAATGATACTATGCATGTAAAAATTTGTGGTTGAGGGGACAGATTGGAGGGGATAGATTTGAAAATTAGTTTGAAGGAAAGCAGCAATTTATGCCTGATTGTGGAACAAGGGAAAGAGAGAGAAAAAGTAAAAGGGATATTGAAAGTAACTTAACGGGAGTGCTGGTATACTTTTCTTAAATAGATGTTAAGTCCACACTGGAAACCATATTTGGGATCAGTGGTGAACTTTTTGAGTTTGAGATAAATTTGTTTAACTTGGGATCTCAAGAGATGAGGCAAATGAAATACTGAACCAGCAGTTGAGAATTTAAGATGGTACTAGCTGAAGCGCAGAAGAGAGGATGGGACTAGAAATTAAGATGTAAGGGTTAGCCACACACACTCATCTTGCTTGCCTGTGACTATATCCATGTGCATGTCCATTGCTAGGTGTATCTGTGTCCTTCTTCATGTCCTGTGAGGGTGAGAATGGGTGGGAGTGGCAGTCTTGGAAGTGCTCTTGGGACCCTCATACCATGAGGAGATATGTATTCTACCCTGCCTTACAGTGGGTCCCACATTGAGAACTGGCATTCGATCCTGCGCAATGGGCTGGTCAATGCATCCTACACCAAACTGCAGGTGAGTCTTTGCCCTTCTCCCTTTCTCTCTACTCCCCACTCCCTGTACCACTTAGTTTGGGGTAAGGCTGATCTCAAATACTGAGTGGTTTTTGCCTCAGCATTTACAAACCTAGGCTTCCCCAGGAAGAAGTTGGACCTGTATGTATAGAATGAATATGATTATTGTATATTTGACTCTAGGCTATGTTTTTTGTTGGGTTGAGGGATGGGAATATAGCTGTGGGTAGGAATATGAATTGCTGATTGCTGTTATTATTGGGAACTAACCTATTAGAGCTTTTTAATTTATGTAACTATCCATTCAGAGTTGATATAGAATTCCTTTACCCTATAAAACTCCAGTGAACGGTTGTCCTGACTTCCTGGTCTGTAATTCCTTTTGGGGAGGAATTTTCATATGTCCCAAAGCCTGGGGACAGGTTCATGGATTTTGAGGGATTGGCTCTGGCTCTGCTACTCCTCATTCTCTAAGGCATCAATATCTAGTATTTCATAAGCATCCATTTTTCAGCCAACCAGCTTTTCAAGAGTAGGTGCTTAGAGTTACTTGAATAAGTGAGAAAATAAATGGAAGGACAGAGGGCTGGAGAAGCCTTGTGGCTGCTTAATATACAGCCATGGGAGGGCCCAGGCTTATATTGCTCATCCTGGTGTTTCCCTGCAAGCTGCATGGAGCAGCCTATGGCAAAGGCATCTACCTGAGCCCCATCTCCAGTATTTCCTTTGGATACTCAGGTAAGAAATACTCTCTGGCCTCCTTAACTAGTTACATTGCATCCCTTTTGTTAATACGTGAATTTGTTCTCTCCTTTTACTCCATCATGGATACTTGGTCTATGTCAGCTCTCTTCCCAGTCATGGATACACAGTCTGTCTCTTTCTACATTCTTTCATTAGAAATTTAGATTGTTTGCAAGATAATCCAATTATTTCCCTTTTTCTTCAGTGGTCCTCTTCTCTAGGAAAATGGTTTTATTCGTTATAGGAACTTGGCTCTGAAAATGGTTAGAGAATAACTGGGAGATGAAAGTAGGCTTTTAGTAGACCACGTTTTTGGTTTTGACAGTAGGCTGTCAATCCAGATTGTGTGTGGGCACATGGACATGAGCATTTACATGTGAAGATACTTGAAGGCTTAAATTCTTTCCACTGGCTTATATTTCTAGAGACATTATTCTCTGTGTCAACCACCTTTTACAATTGAAACTGTCCATAATTATATATTATTATATTAGTCACATTAAATACAAGAAAAAAGCATTTTATTCTAAAGATATAAAGAAAGTGTAAATTTTAGTCAGGATATGAGTCCAGCTCAGAAAACAAATTTTACTTAGCGCTCTCTCAGTGTTACAGATTTATGTGTTAATTCCTTCTTGGTCTTCTTTTGTTTTTGTTGCATATAGCCTCTGTATTTGGCTAGCCACCATATAGTTGTATGTCTGCCATATGAAGGAGACATGCTAGATTGTTAATAGATAGTTATTTAGTATTCTTCAACTGTTATAAAGATAAGAAAACTTGGGTCTAGAATCACAGAATTAGAAAAATCTCTAAGAACAGAATAAACTGAACAAAGTAGAAGAAAGGAGATAATATAGGTAAGAACCAAAATCAATGATACAAAACAGATACAATAGATTGCACCACAAATCACGAGGTGATACTTTCAAAGAACTAATAAAGCTTGTACTAAAATGTATATAGCATTAGGGTCTTCTGGTGGTACAGGAGTTAAAGTGGCAGTGCTATCAAGCTATCACCAGCCACTGTGGCATGAATTCAATCACCAAATGCATATAGTATTGAGACCTTCCTGGTGGCACAGGAGTTAAAGTCTCAGTCCTATCAAGCTGTCATCAGCCACTGCAGCATGAGCTGAATCCCCAGCCAGGGAGCTAACCCACATGGTGCAGCAGACTCCCCCCTCTTGCCCACTGCTCCCCTCAGCAGTGTATTTCAGTAGATCTACCTGTTCTGTTCCCCACTCTGTCCCTGCTGAATCCTCTCACCCCCTGCACCTCTGGCCTACACCCCAGTTTTTCTAGGCATAAATAAAATAAATCTTTTTAAAAATGTACAAAGTATTACAAATCAGTGGTACCTCAATAAAATAAATAAGTAAATAAATAGGCAGAGTTTAGGTAAGATTAAGAAAAAAAGACACAAATAATATAAATGAAAAAGGGAACATACCTACAGGTGTAGCAACATTTTAAAAGCTGGTGGGAGAAGTCTGTTAACTTTATGCTAGTAATTTGGAAACTTTGACAAAATGGATAAATTCCTAGAAAAATAAAACTTCATAAACTGATTTAAGAATAGAACCCGGAAGTCTGGATAGCTATAAAACTTGTAAAAGGCATTGAAATAGTAGTTTAAATTTTTCCACAAAAATGAAACAAACCTGGGCCTCCCCAGTGGCGCAGCGGTTGTGCGCTGGGTTGCGAAGCTGCCCGCAGCCTCTGCAGCACCGGTTCGATCCCCAGCTGCTCCCCGGCCACCGGAGGAGGGTCCCACATGGCGTGCAGACCTCTCCTGCCACCCGCTGCTCCCCTCAGCAGTGTACTTCATCACTCTGTCTGTTCTACTCTCCGCTCTGGCTCTGGTGAATTCTCTCACCCTCCCACGCCTCTGACTGTACCCAGTGCTTGTATAAACAAACAAACAAACAAACAAATAAATAAATAAATCTTTAAAAAAAAAAAAAAGAAACCAAAAAACATACCAATCATAGATAGTTTTATAAGTGAGTATTAAACGTCCAAGAAATAAGTATTTAATCATATATAACATTATCCAGAGAATAGAAAAGGAGGGAATTAAAAATCATAAAATATTGGCTAATTTTACTTCTTTAAAACTAAATTTCTGGGCCTCCCCTGGTGGCGCAGCGGTTGAGTGCTGGGTTGCAAGGCTACCCGCAGCCTCTGCAGCGCCAGTTAGATCCCCGGCCACTGGTGAGGGTCCCACAAAAAAAAAAAAAAAAAAAAACCTAAATTTCTTTTCATGTGACAACTTTATATGTGAAAAGATAAGCTACAAACTCAGAGAAGACCTTTACAATAAATAAAGCCTATTTTAAAAATTCTTACAAGGGCCTCCCCAGTGGCACAGCGGTTGAGCGCTGGGTTGCGAAGCTGCCCGCAGCCTCTGCGGCGCCGGTTCGATCCCCAGCTGCTCCCCAGCTACTGGAGGAGGGTCCCACATGGCGTGCAGACCTCTCCTGCCACCCGCTGCTCCCCTCAGCAGTGTACTGCTGTCCTTCTGCCCTTGCTGCTCCCCACTCTGGCTCTGGTGAATTCTCTCACCCTCCCGCGCTTCTGACTGTACCCAGTGCTGTATAAATAAATAAATAAATCTTTAAAAAAAAAATTCTTACAATAAGAAAAAGATGCCCAATAGAAAATAGGGAAATGATGTGAATAGGCATTTCACTGAAGAAATGACCAAAAAAAATGAAAAGCTGCTCAACTTCTGTTAATCAAGGAAGTAAAATCAAGACTACAATGATCATTTAGCCTTCCACGTAGACTGGCAAAACTTAAGAAATCTAATAATAGTTCTGATTGCACCAGAGGTTGTATATCAGCAGGATCTCGTCTATGCTTATGGGAATATAAATGGATACAACCACTTTAGAAACAATTTTATAAAGCTGAAAAACTTTATCTCTGTGACTCAGGATCTTCATTTCTGCATATGTTCACTCAAAGATGTATACACAAATGTTCAAAGCAACACCACAACAGCAAATCATGGAAACAGTCTCCATCAGGATAATAAATAAATATATTTGAATATATTCTCATCGTTCAGTAATGAAAGTGAGCAAATGGTGGCATTCATTCAACAATATAGAAAAATCTTAGTAATAAGTTGAATAAAAATTGACAAGCCCAAGAAAACGAAAAACAGCAAAACAGAACATAATGACAAGGCTAGAAGACTAGTATATGATGCCTTTTTTATATTGTTCACATGCAGACAAAAACATCACTTAAGTTGGTGTGTATATGTGTGAGGTAAAACTAAAGGAAAAAGATAACCCAAATTTCAGGTTAGTAGTGACCTTCCAAGGGGCATTAGATAGTTGAGGTAGGAGGGCGTACATCATTAGGTATAAGTCACTAGTGGTATTTTGTCAATAGTTCTTAGATTTAGTTCTTAGGTTGGGTATACATTATCCATTAAATAAATGATAGTGTATTATGAATCAAAGGTTATGATTAATCTACATATGGTAAGTGCCTAATCAGTTTTTATTGAACATGTGAATGAATGAATCTCACTCTGTGTGATTGGGGTTCAAAGTGAGGGTAGAGTTAGGGTTGTCTCTTGGGTTTTTTGTTTAGGTCCTTCAGTTTTTATCTTTGTCTCAGCATTGGCTTTCCCCTAATTAAATTCTTACTATTTTTCAAATAGTGAGATTCTCCTGTCTCTTTGTGCCCACAAGATCCTTTCTTCCCTGTGTTCTCTCTGTTCTGTAATCCATCTCTCCTCTCATACTGGCCTTTGTTTACCACCAAATGCCTAAATACCTTTAGTTATCAGATGGACCCAGGACTCTCTTGATTTCTTATCTTTTATCACTTTACTGACTACATAAAAGCATCATATTGTCTCTCTCTCTCTCTGTCTATTATAGATTAAAAAATATCATAGGATTTTACTGTTAGAGTTGTAGATCATCTCTCCCAATTCTTACTACTTTATAGATAAAAAAGGTGAAACAGAAACTTTAAATGACTTTCTTGGGGTAGCAGAGCTAGAACTGGAATATCCAGCTCTCTTGACTTCTAAACCAGTGTTCTTATCACTATATTGGATTGATAGGGTAGGCTTTGCTTGAATGACCTTCTCTGAGAGCCCCAGAGATATGTGAGTCTCTATAACAGAGTTCTTTATATATCTTTGAAACTAGAGCAGATCTGACTTGCTCTCCTTACTTTACCTCCAGTCTTTTCACTCAGCCTGGCATTTGATAGATGAGTAATGTCTCCAATCTCCTTGGCCCCTCATTCCTGGCTCACTGCTCCCCTGTCTTAGAACCCTTCAGTGATTCCCTGATATTCTGAGGATAAATTCCAGTTGTCTTAACATGTCCTAAAAGGCCTGCTTTGATCTGACCCTGGCTTACTTCTTCCATGTCATCTCTTGCTTTCTCTTTCCTTCAGACCTTATATCTCTTATTACCTCTGCCCAGAACTCTTCTTCCCCTTTGTTTAACTAACTATTCCTAATCCTATAGTTCTCAGGCCAAAAGTCACCAGAAAGCCTTCTTCAAACTGTTAAGCTAGGCTATTTCCCACTGGTTCACAGAGTGCTCTGTATTCTTCCCATCACAACACTTACCATGTGGTGTTATAATTACTCGTTCCTTGCCTGTCATCTCCAACAGACTAAATTCTGTAGGGACATTTATCTCATATGTTTTATTCACTTCTGTATCACCAAGTATCTCATTCAGTGCCTGGCATATAATATGTACTGCAGTAAATACATGATGAAAGAATGGATGAATGACCTGGGTTTGTTGTTCTGTGACAGGAATGGGAAAAGGACAGCACAGGATGCCTTCCAAGGATGAGCTGGTCCAGAGATATAACAGGATGAATACCATCCCCCAGGTATTACTGGTCCTGCTCCAGTGAGACAGGACCCTTTCTCAAGGATCATTTTAGGCTACAGAGATGGATGGGGCGTGGGTTGGGTGGTTTGAAGGTTATTGGAAAGAATCAGATATGTTCTAAAATGAATACACTTCCAGAGTCATATGTGATCTCAATCATAAGTATGAAAGCAGAGTCTGAGTTTAAATGCAGTGACATGAAAATATAAAGATAGAAGCTGGACTCAAGAAGATTAATTATGGGAAAGCAAATTCCCATAATTTCCAAAAAATTCCTATAAATTCCAAAAAAATTGTATGGGGGGGGGTGAGCAAGTCGGGGAGGATTGGCTGGGAGTCCAAGTTATCCTTGATGCCCACCCCAGCCATCACCAGCTAGGCAGCCTTTCTAGGGAAAGCTGTAACAGTCTTCTTGGCTCTGCTCTCCTCTTCCAGACCCGATCCATTCAGTCAAGGTTCCTGCAGAGTCGGAATCTAAACTGTATAGCACTTTGTGAAGGTAGGTAACTCACCCAGTCCCTGTTTTTCTCACTTTACTCCCCGACCTTTATTTCTGATGTACCTTGATCCAGCCAAGGGTAATGTTGAAGCATCTGGTCTTCCCTCTCTTGCCTGGACCCTGTGACTGGAGCATTAATATTCGTAACTTTTGGCCCCTTATTCCCAGTGATTACATCTAAGGACCTCCAGAAGCATGGGAACATCTGGGTGTGCCCTGTGTCCGACCATGTGTGCACACGGTTCTTCTTTGTGTAAGTCTAAAAGGGTACCTTGGGGATTATTCTTAGGAGTAGGAGTGGGGGTGTGATGGTGTGTGACTACTGGGAAAGTCTGTTTCTGTTATTTGGGACTTGTCCCTGACTGAGTGGAATTGGTGTCCCTTAGAGGATGGGAATGGGTATAGATCAGAGTCTGTTCAGAGGAAACCAAATAAGCTATATCTTTTCCACTCTAAAGTAACACGAAGGGTTTTTTTTCTGGGATGGGATGATTACAACTCCAAATACAGTTCACCTGGTTAACATTCTGGTATTGTTTGCCCTCTTATGTTCATACTTGCCCTATCTTTGGCAGATATGAGGATGGTCAGGTGGGCGATGCCAACATTAATACTCAGGACCCCAAGATACAGAAGGAAATCATGCGTGTGATCGGAACTCAGGTTTACACAAACTGAGGGGGCCCCAGCCCTCCTACCACTCCTGTTCCCCCAGGATCCATCTGCCCTCATAAAAGGGCTCAGGAGCAGCTGGCGAGACTGCCCTGAGGAATCAAGGGGCCATTACCAAGGGGCAGGAAAGGATAGAAGAGGCAGCCTTCATGGTGGAGACTGACCCAGGAACCACTCCACATTTGGATGGCCTAGACTGACTCCTTACCCCTGACTTTCCCAATTGACTTCACCCTGTTTGTAAATAAAACAATAAAATGGAAGGTGCTGTGGACTGGATATGATTACTGTGGTCTGACTGGCCGTGGCCCAGCACCTGCCCCAAGCTCCCAGCTTGGGGGTGGGGTGAGGAGAGCGGAATATCCTGAGGATTGGGGCTGTCTAGTGTAATGTATTAAAGATCTGTCAGTAGTCTAATCAAAATATTAGACAAAGAAAGGAAACTTACCAGTTATGCAGATGATGTAAACTGAAAAGGATATAAAGTGCCACTGGTGATTGTTCCTCCATATTTAAAAGGACAACTGAGGCCAGAGAAACTCATATTTCCTAGCCCTAGGACCTCTGCTTTCTGCTCAAGATCTATTCACTGTCCTCTGCTTTCCTAGCTCAGAGCCCCTATTCTCTTCCTCCCCCCAGCTATTTCTTTGGGGTAAGGGAAGTGGGGGAAAGCTGGTAGGTGCAAGAAGTTCAGTTGGTCTTTAATTTACAATATATAGAAATCCTAAGAAAATGCATTCTCCTTTAATGAAACAAAATCCAAATTCTCCAAAGTTAGCAAGGTGAGGAAAGATAACTGTTTCTCAGAGAACTAATTGGTCCAGTGAAGTCCAACTCCATGTTGAAATTCGAGATGCTAACCTGCTGACCTTTCAGACTGTACCATATACTTAAAACCCTGAGTTAGTGCCAAGAAGCAGGTTGGACGTTGCCAAATATTTTAATAAAATATTAATAAAGATTAGGAATATAAACACAGAAAATACAAAAAACATTAAACAATTTTGGCTTTTCAGGTATAGGTTTTTTATTCTATTATAACTTATTGGTTTACAAAGCCCTTTCTAGACTACCTATTGTTAGTCTACCTTCATTACCTTCACCCTAGTTTGGAGATAACCTTCTTTACCTAGTACCTTATCTGCTTTGTAGTTCCTGACCTGCCTTAACATGGAGGTACCATTCTTAACGTTCATCCTCCTAGGAGCTATTTCTTAAGCTCCTTTATCCCTTTCTTGATCAAGATCACTACATCCTCACTATAAGTCTCCTAAGGCTCTTGCTTGCACTCTGGTTTCAGGTCTAGGAAAATACCTCTTCCCTAAGTAAATGACCCCATCAGTGAGCCCATTCTTACTGAAATTCCTGCTTCTGGAAGTATCCTTGCAGTTCATCTGTGTATTATTAAGAGATAGCTAGCATTTAGTTCTTACGTCAATGCTAGGCATCATGCTAAGCATTTTAATAATTTGCTAACACTTTGGGTCACTTGCTAATGCTTCATACTATAAATTTCCTACATAGGTTGACTAATACAATTCTCACAATAAACCTATGAAATGGATGTGGTCATTCCTATCGATATTTTATGGATGAGAAAACGAGGCACATAGTGACTTACTATATGCCATAGCTAGTGACCCACAGGCAACCTGACTCCAGAACTGCAATTCCTGTTCTTTGATGTAAAACCTTTCAATCTTGGTAATTTTTTCACTTAATCCTGACAACAAAGGTGGACTATATGTTTTCTTTAGAGATCTTACATAATGTGTCTGAGGTCTTATAGCTGGCTAGTGGCAATGCTGGCCCTTTTAACCAAATCTGCCCAACTCTGGGACCTGAGTTCTTAACCACTCTTTTACTTCCTCAGAGATTCTCAGACATTCCCACTGGTATTCCAGAAATAGAACCTAGGTGCTACATTTTTGCTCAATATTCAGAAATTGTTAGTTTTTCTCATTGTAAGAATTTCTTAAAATTTTTCTTTATCATTGCCATCTAACTCAACAAGTACTAGCATAAGAAATAAGTTATGAATAGTGTTTGTTACAGAAAATTCAAATACTGAGCAAGCCTTAGAAGTGTCACTTTTTTATAACAAATATATAATTGTCTTATGTCAATAAAATTGTAATGAATTAAATATACCATTTTATACTGTTCCACCAAAAAAACAACAGGACTTTTTGAATTTGAGAAGTTTGAAAGCCATACAGAATCATATCTGAAATTCAAAACATATATGGTATAAAGCATATCTTATTGAAACCCACAGCATTTCTGTATAAGAATGTCTTCGTTGCAAGAAACTTGCAGCAGGGGGCCTTGCTTCTCTGGAGAAGGTCCTTTCCCAATCCTGGAATGGGAAGGAGGTCCCTTTCCCCCACCCAGGTTTGGCTACTGTGGAGATAGGGAGGTGAGTCCTGTGAAAGCCAGGACTGAGCAGGAGATCATCCTTCACAGAGGCCAAGGCTATTATAAATACTGCACACAGAGGTTGACAGTGGCCTCTGATCTTTCACATAGTCCTGAACTTAAGCAACCTTACTTCTTTTAAACCTGGATGTACTTAGAGTTATGGCTAGCAGAACTATTTACTTATAGTTCCAAGTGGAGAGTAGATGGCTGTGATTTCTGGATGGAGAGCTCAAAAACCCTTGGAGTTTAACCTTCCCTTTCCCTTGCATGGTAATTTTCCATCCAGGCAGGGTGTGGCTATGACTCAGTTTGTGGTGAGGATGTGACCATCCTTGGGGAGGAGCCTTCTGTTTGATTCTGCCTTTCATTATGGCCTATGGGGAGACAGAGGCATGGTGCTGAGTCATTACTGGGTTACTTACCAGCTCTTCACAGCATGGATTCTGATATGAATTTTTGAGAGTTGTGTTAGCTTCTGGCACCACTTGTGAGTGGTGGGTAGGAGGCTTCATGGGTCACATAACTCCCCCAGGGCCCAAGAGGGGTGAGAACTAAATGGAGCTCCAATTTATTTGAAGATATATCAGTCTCCTTGAAATACAGAACTTGATATAAATACTTCATAGTTCCCCTCCCCAACAAAAAGAGGCCAAAGATAGCACCCTTTAAATTAAAGCACTGCCTACAAAGTCTCCTTAATTCTAGCTGTCCTTCCTGGGATAAGTGGATCAGGTTAGCTGGTAGCCAGTAAACATGGAGGTAGAGACTAGAAGTAGGATGCTAAGGAAAAAGCAAACTTTGGACTGTAACAGGAGGACATGTAAAGTAGGGAGAACTTAATCTATTATTCATTGATGCCTTTTTTGGTCTTTATCTTGATTACTTTGGCGGGGTAGGGGACCTGTTTATAATTCCACTTGCATTGTAGAGAGCCTGAGGGAAAAAAGAGAGAACATAGGGCCTCCAAGGGAGTGGCCTGGTGAATAGGATTAAATCATCCTAAAGAGGTTTTGTCCTGAGATCCCTCACACTTCTGGACTAGAGAAAGATTGCTGAAGGAGTTTTGGTTGGCACGTTGGAATGGACTAGATTCCTGGAGCTTCTTCCTTCCTGCTTCTAAGTGCTGATGAGGCATTTCTTTAGGAGGAGGAGGAAGAGAGTAGAGGCCTAAATACACAGAGGCAGTTCTTTACTGTTACTTTCTGCTGGAATAAATTTCACATACCTGTCTATCCTCACCAACCCTCCATGTCTCCTCTACCATGAGACATTTCCCTCTTGTACATAATCTGTTCTGTATCCCTAACTCCAAAAGGACAACTCTCTCTTCCTTCCAGGATTTGTCTGGGGGAAACTGTGGAATTAAGATTTTGTGCCACCCTGGTAGGCCTGAAGAGATTTTGGGAGTCTGAAGGAAGCCGTAAAATAAAAGTCTACCTGATCTGACTCTGGAGAGGGCAGATAAAGTCCAAAGTAACTATATCTGCTCTAAACCTGACATTCTGCACCCGTGGGCTGCCCTAGAAATCCGTATGGCCCTGAGAGAGAACTAACAATGCTGATTTAGGCAGAGGTCATGTGATGGTTAAAGTGGTATGTTAACCAAACTTCAGGGCTGAAGTTTGTCTTTGTGTAACCAAACTCAATGTCTCTCTTCTCTGGGTGGGTGTGCGGGCTCAATAAAAGACACTGCCAAGATGGAGTGCTTAAAGGACAAGTATTGATTTCCTTGTGATAAGAAAAGGAGATAGCAAAACTGGTGTTTTCAAAGAAACTCCTAGAGGGGGCAGTGAGATGAAGTTATGTAGTATTATCCAGTGTGGGAGGGGGTCTCCTGTATGTTTTTGTTCCTGATGCTGGCATCTTCTGGTCCTTATCTTCAGCTTGAGAGGTCTGCAGAAAAACATACCTTCAGGGAAACATGAAAGTTTGCCATATACAAGGTTTTCTCGGGTTTTTTTGTTTTTGTTTTTGTTTTTTATCTTGTCTAGGTTTTATTTATGGTCAAGAAGCTTGGGTACAAGGTGACCTATGTCTGCTGACCTGGGCCAGCCAGGACAATTTCTTACCTCTTACCACCTTCGGCTACAGTATTGTTTGCTGATATACCTTCTTTCCACAGTCTCCAAATGACCTTGGGGAGTTAAACTATGAAACTCCAGAATCTGTGACTAAGAAACCAAGCAGATAATAGCAGTCTATACCTTCACTTAGCCCCAGTCCAGTGAACCTAGCAGCTTCCCCTCCCATCCTGCCAGCTCAGTGGAAGGGCTGGCTCTAAGGGGAGAACTGTGGATTCTAGGGGAGTCTGTCTCCCACCTCAACTTCCTCCAGTTTCTATAGTCCTGGGATAACTTGCTGCTGGGTCAAAGGCATGAAGATGCAGGAAGCTGACCCAAAGTAAGGCAACCAATATCCTCTGGCACTAGTCATAACGACAACCCTCCGTGACTAGTCAATTCCCAAAGGAAGGATGCCTACTGGACACTGCTATAATCATGTACATATTTTATCTGGTCAAATCCCACCCTATGAAATAGGTATTGTCTTCATTTTACTTAAAAAAGGCTCATATTAAACTACAGGATATAGGAGTAAGTGCAGTTGAAACGAAGATAACATGGAATCGAAGATAACATGGAATTGATGCTTCTGTATTATGTTGCTGAATCACCTTAAAACTCAACTATGATAAATTTTCACTATGCATCTAATTTAAGCAAGAATATGCTGGACTAGTCTCTGCCAGAGATCACAAGCAGCATTTTTATAATTGATCGATACTGGTAACTGAAAGGCACTCGTTTGAAACCAGCTCTCCAATTTAATGCATTTGAATTTCAATCTTGGGACCATATCTAGATTTAGAACTTTAAGATGCGACATGGTTCAGCATTGACCAGCTGGCTGCTACCCTAGGGTTAGTCCATCACTGTACCTGGTTGGTCCTTAGCTTAGGGCTATGTACGCCACCCTTCTGGGAATCTGAATCTATCAGAATCTGAAACAGGAGAGGAATCTGATTGTCCCTGGTGAGCATGGTTCATTTTCCTCTCAACTTTGTGTTCTCCCATCACCTCAGTAGCTAAACATTTACTTCTGTCTACAACTAAGGGTACAGGAAAAGGCTTACAGAAGAAATTAGAAGATCTTATTTCAAGCAGAAATTTACGTAGGCTGTCACTTTCTCCTCCCAGCTTATCTGAGCTAACAGGAAAGTGTAATGAAGGCCTGTGATTCAGCTGCAAGCAGGGTGTCTCCTGGAGCAAGTCACACCCATTGGTCTCTATTCCAGGAAACGGAAAGAACCTGATAATAGTCTTAACGATTTTTGATTAGGCAGCATTTTGTCTGCCCTCAAAACTTGGCTAAATGACGGCAAGAGTTAACAGCTGTTGCATTGATAACTGCTGTCACCACTGGTTGTAGACTAACGATTGAGAAATCAGGAAACAATTCGGGGATCAACGTAAAAAAATCTCAATACTGCTTTTAAAACCCAGGGTTGAAAACAAGTGCAGATTCCTGCAGAGGTCGGCTCTAACGTTCTGACTCGATGTTTCCTGACGGTCAGTTCTGCACCAATATTAATAACTTCTGTTCGTTTTCTACTCTCAGGCTCTTGCTCTGCAGAGTTCCTAGTAACCACGGGCCCCAACCTGTCCTTCCCCATACCAGCCCTAAGAACAAAAAGGCCTCGGGCTCTGTGCACACGCCCCTTCTCCCTGGTTTCCCCTCATCTCGCCCCAGTGCCGGATCCCCTGGGAATGCAAGCTGGCTTCCAGCTCTTCTCTGATCCCCCCTTCTGATCCCGTCTCGGGCTCCCCCCCTCCTGCTGTTTAGTTCACCCTCCGAGGCGTGAGCTGGAGCGGACCCCAGAAGAGAGGGGAGTCGCAGGGCGGGGCTGCGGGAACGCTGCCCGGGCACCCATAAATCTGGGCACCGCCCGGATAAGTCCAGGCAGCGGCAGCGGCCTAAGCCGGGGGTCAGATGAAGAAAGAGGCCTCCCTCAGCAGCCTCACCGGGCGGCGACAGGTGGCCCCGGCGCCCGGGGGTCTGGCGGGCGTCTCGCAGGCTTCGGGGGCGGGCCCCGAGCCTCGCCGCTTTCCCATTGGCCTGCGTGCGGCTCGTCGGCGTTTATGTGAGTGTCCTTCCGCCAAAGAATTAGTCCCCCGCAGCAGCGCGGCCCGCCCCGCGGAGCTTCCCTGAAGGTGACTGCGCGCCGCGAGGACGCGGGGGCGGGCCCCTCGAGCCCGGAGCCGGGATTGGGTGGGGGGCGGGGCGGCGGAAGGATTGCGGCGGCCCGGAGTCGGGATAACCTTGAAGCCCAGGCCGCGGATTCCCGCACAGCAGCTGCGCCCGCGGAGACTCCGGCCCTGCCTGCGCTCTCGTCTCGCCCCCGAGCCGCCCCGCCGTAGGTGAGCCGGGGAGGAGGCCGGGCCGTCCATTCCCGCTTGGCCGCTGCCCGCCCCGTTGGGGCGGGATGCCCGCCCTTCTGCTCTTTCGGGTACCCAAATTGGGGGCGGCGCAGGGTCCTTGGGGTCTCGAGGAGGGCGCTCCGGGCCCCCCGGCTCGTTTCTTCCAAGATCCGACGGGTCCACCCAGCCCCTTTCCTGCTCCAGTCCTCGCCCGCATTCTGGTCCCCTCCTCGCCGCCCTCGCACCCCTTCAGCTGCTTCCATCCTCACCCCTCCGGTCCCCTCCTGACCGGATCCCTTCCTCTCCCCTTTCTTCTCAGGCCACGCCGCTCCCCTCCCCGCCCCCTCCTAGCTCCTTGGTGTTCATTGCCTCCGGGGCTGCACTTTGTGGGTGCTCCGCTCATCCCGATGCTTTGCTTGTAACCCCCTCCCCCGCGAGGTCCTTCTCCAGCGCCCCGCCGCCCCCCCACTCGGGTTCGGTCCACTCTCCCCGCGCCCCTCGCCTCCTCGTGCTACCCCTTCCCCATCTCTACCCCACCCCCCATTCATGCCCGGCTCCCGCCCCTCCCCCTCCATTCTGGTCACGTCCGCCTCCCCGCATCCCGCTCTCCTCCAGTCCTTGGCACCGCCCGGCGCCTCGCCTCGCCCCTCCCCTGCCGGCTCCTCTCGGCGTCCGCGTCCCGCTTCTCCCTTCGCGGTCCTGCCCCCTTGTCCACCGCGGGCTCCCGGACCCCAGGCCCGAGGAGCGGGGCTTGGGGCTCGGGGGGGCTCGTTGTGCTGAGGTCTGCGGGGCTCTGGCCGTCCGCGCGGCCCAGGGATGCTGCGGGCGTTCGGGCGCATCTAGGGGTTACATAACCCGTGGCTCTCCCCACCTCGCTGCAAGAGGAAAGGGTGGCCGCTCTGCGGCGCGGGCCTGTGCAGGGGCGCGGGGGCTCCATGTGGGGGCCGCGGCGTGGCACGTAGCCGCCCGCGTCCTGGGCGCCTGGCCGTCCGCCCCGTCGCGCCCCCAGCTTTACCGCAGACCTCAGCTGTTGCAGGAAGCCCGAGGATTCTTCGCCCCAGACCTGTTTCACTTTGCTTAACAAATAGGATCGTAGAACTCGGAGGCCACGAGGTTGGGGAGAGCGGAAATATTTCTAGAGCTTTAAAGCAGTAAAAGCTACTCAGAGCTGTTTAAGGGAGGGGTGGAGATTAGGGTGTAGAGTCCACTGTGTAATTAAAGAGCGATCTTCCCTGCGGGGTGCAGTTGGGACGGCGGACTCTTAGTGATTTGGGGTGGGACTGAACAGGAGTCTTTCCAAAGTGCAGTCACATGGGGTCTAAGGAAGCTTTTGAAAAGCACCTTCAGGTCTGAGGATTATTTAAAGTCCCGAGTCATGGAAAGGCAGGCTTCTTACCCGTGTTCTTTTCCCATCTGAGTAAAGGAGCCTGATAATTAAGGTCCAGACTTGCTAGACAGAGGCGTTAGGAACTTGCAAAGGGGCTTTTAGAATCTGGACTCATCAACATACTGACCAGAATGATGGAGGGAATTCAGTCCTAGGACTTCTGTTTCTGGTGTGTAAACCGAAAGTATATTTTCCCCGTGGTTGTTGAAAGAACTGGTGTCTATGCACACACCTACAGGAATATATATTCTCACTGCAGTGTCTAATCTCTGGTGAGATTTTTTTTTTAAAGATTTACTTAAGCATGCAAGAGGTGGGGTACAGGCCAGAGGTGCGGGGGTGAGAGGATTCACCAGAGACAGAGTGGGGAGCAGAAGAGGCACATTGACTGAAATACACTGCTGAGGGGAGCAGTGGGCAAGACAGGAGAGGTCTGCCATGCCACGTGGGTCAGCTCCCTAGCTGGGGATCTAACACAGGCCAAAGCGGTGGTAGTGCTGGGCCTTAACCCCCATTAGGCCACCAGTGAGGCCCTTCTGGTGAGATATTTAGAAGAGATGCCTTCTTTCGGTCATTGAGTACAGTAACATGGTCCATAATTGAGCATGAGGGCTCTTTTCTCTGCCTTCCCAAACACATAGTCATAGTTACTCTTTGGCAGTCAGACTCTAAATACCAGACATCTCCAGGAAACCAATCCCCCTAGGGGTCTGGGTACAGTGTTTACAAGTAGCTAAGAATTCTCTTGTAACAGGGACTCTTTGGTCTCCTGAGAATGGGGACCTCTAAACAAAGGAAGGAAAGGAGTTGTAGGATTTTCTCAGCTGGGAAATAGGTTAGATTTGGAGGTAGGCCACAGATGATAGCCACCTGTTGGTGGTACAGAGGATGTGGCCACCCCTTAGGGTACAGAGGGCCTAATCCTGCTCTGCAGCATTGTTAGCAAATAATTTACCCTCTGGTTGCCTGTGGATGCTGTTGGGACTGCAGGGGGCTGTTCTCAGCAAAGGATATGTGTGTAGCCCATCACTGGTCTGTGTGTAGAGGTGAGGAAGACTCTGGGCAAGATGACTCAACCGTTAAACTTCTCTGCTGTTGAGAGAATGCTCTTCATTGGGTGAGTGGGGAAACTGCATTATGGTCTTCATAGATTTAGAAATTCCCCTTTCCCGGCTTGTGAGTCAAGCAATGAATCATACTTTTCCCCCCCAGTTGAAAATTTTTCAACTAAGTGAAAAAGGCTCGGTCCAGGTTGCTCAGGCACACTTTCTACTGCCCTAAGAGCTGGACTGCAGAGTGGCTGAGCCCATTCTGCAGCAGGCATGCCAGTCTTTGTGGAATAAGGGCTGTAGTGGACATGAATAACGATAACTTAAAAATGTCCTTGAACTCATTCTGAGCTTCTAGACTTGCGTCAAAATATATGGACGTAAGTTTCCTCCAGTCGAGCATAGTTGCTCCCATTTTAGGCTCTGCATTAGAAGTAAATAATTTTAGTGTTGAATTCATAGTTTAACAGAGAGCATTGCTGGGTCTTTAAGAATTGCACCCCCAGTGGGCCTCCCCTGGTGGCCCAGCGGTTGAGCCCTGGGCTGCGAGGCCCGCAGCCTCTGCAGCGCCTTGTTCCCCGGGCCGCCCGCAAGGGTCCCACAAAAAAAAAAAAAAAAAAAAAAGAATTGCACCCCCGGTGAGTTGGCAAATTTGGTAGCTGTGGTCCAAACAGAGCTTGCACCTTATGGGTGCAGCCTCTCTGCTTTGAATGTTGTGACATTTATGTGGTGTCATAGGAAAGGGCATTTTATTTCTTAAAGCACTCTTAATGTTGAAACAGTGAAAGAAATGAGGACGTGGCTTTGAACAGGAAGGTGAAAAAAAATGCAACTCTTGCATCACAACTCACAGCATACGAGTTTTATTTTGCCCCAACTTTTATGAAGGCAAGTCAGGATATGTCATCTTAGCCAAGAGCTAAGACTGACTTAAAGGTAAGGGAAAATTACTCACTTGACATTATATTTTTTTTTTGAATTATTATGAATGTCTACATCAAATCCCAATTAACTGCTATACCACAAGAATGAGTCCCTTGTGTGAATCGTTCCCATGCAACTTTGTTGAGGATCTTGTGGGCTCTGTAAGTAATCTATTTGGTAAAAGATCTTAGAGGCCTCAGTGGCATCACTTTAAACATCAAATCCACTACAAGTAGGAACAGAGCTGAGGGAACACCATACTTTCTGGGAACTTGCATTTTTTCACCAAAGCCAGCTGCAGATGACAATAAGATTTGATTATTTGGAGCTTTGTTAAAGAAGCTGTTTGGGTGTGAGCTAGTGTGGGTGGTGAGGGGCAGTCTGCAGCTTCTCTTGGCCTTTTGGTATCCTGTTATGACTGTTCAGCTCTGGAAGAGAGGTTGGCAGAGTGACCAAGCGGTGCAGCCACACCCCTTCGGCGGTTTGTCGCGTTCTGCACGGTCTGCACGTAGGAGGGAGCCAGGCTGCATGCAGTACCTCCTGTGGCCTCTGAGACTCACTTGTGTCTGAAGGCAGAGCTTCTGACAAAAGAGCTCTGTCCAAAGCCTCTCCTTTCTGGTACCAGGCAACTCTGTTTGGAAGCCAGCAGGGGGCTGTGGTGGGAGGTGCCACCTTTGGTAGGGTGGTGAGTTGCTGGTCCTAGCACTTCAGAGTATGGAACAGCCTCACTGGTCCAGTCAAAAAGATTTGCTGAAAGGAGCTCATCCCTTCCAAACATCTTTAATCAACCTGCTGAGAATAGTCAGTTCAATCTGAAAAAAAAAGGTCTCTTCCATATCTTCAGTGATAAGACCAAAAGAGTCATCCCAGTCAGCTGAGTCAGACATGCTCATGAGACAAAACCAGGCACATTTTGGAGGAGTTTTAAGTTAGGTGGTCGGGGAAATAGAGACTTTGTAACAAAACTATTACTCTTGTGTTACTCTACTAGGGAGCAGACTAACCAGTGTCACCCAAGAGATGGGCAAACATTTTAAATTTCTGACAGTCTCAAAGTCAATACTTTGGGAAGGCATTCCTGGTTGGTAGTAAATGTATATAATGACTTTGAGGAATTCAGCAATATTTTATAAAATAGAAAATAAACATGCCTAGTGACTCATGTGTTCTGGATTATATATAGAAGTGCAAGAAGACTTGTTCTAGGAGAGTGTTATGGTATTGATTAATAGGGGAAAAGTTGGTTTGGGGGCAAGGAAGGGATGGTCAGCTAGTAAGGAAATGCTTAAATAAATGGTCTACTTGTTCAGTGGACTAGTATTATAGTTCCTATAAATCAAGATCTGTGTACCAACTGGATGGATCTTAAATGGAGTGAAAAACAAAGTTCAATGATACTTGAGCAGTGTATTACTTAGGACATTAAAAAAAACAACCAAAATCTTATAGTCAGTATAGATATACTGTCTCTACAGTATAGATATACTGTCTCTAAATGAACTGGAAGGATATATAATTCACAACAGTAATTAGAACTCATGGTGGAGAAATGAACTGTAAAATTGTAACTAATTTTTAAAAGAAAATCCGCTGAATGTTAATGGTTAGCTCTAGGTGGCAGAAATAGAGATATTAATGTTTCTTTTCTTCAGTTCAAAACAAAATGAAAAAGAAGCAAACCTGTGAAGGTCAGTGCAGGAAGACCAGTTTTACTAACTAGGTCACTGCTCTTGGAGAGTTGGCGCTGCCCTTCTTCCTTCAGCCCCGCTTCTTTTCCCTCCAGCCGTGGGCAGCTCTTCGTTTAAATGCCGAGCCACCGCCTCACTTGGCTGAGGCCAGGTTGTACCTGATTTGAAGGGCCAGGAACGATGTCCCTTGCTGTTCCCAAAGTATGAACACCATGCCCTGAGGGTCTGCCCCTTTTGTGTGAAGGAGGCGCCATGCCCCAGCACCACAGAAGTTTCCTTCTTCAGGCTGTATTGCAGCGTATGGACTGAGCATCTGTGATCAGACCAGGAAATCCTCTGAAGACTCACAGCTTTTTCCCTGACTTGGAACTTCCTGCTCTGGAGCTGAGTGGTCCTTTGGGGGATAGGCCCATTTACCATCAGCTTTGGTGCTTTATTCCCCTGGACCTTACACAATTGCTTATAAAGTTTTTTTTTGTTTTTTTTTTTTAAGATTTATTTATACAAGAACCAGGGTACAGGCCAGATGCGCAGGAGGGTGAGAGGATTCACCAGAGAAAGAGCAGGGAACAGAACAGGCAGCACTGATGAAATACACTGCTGAGGGGGGAGCAGCAAGTGAGACAGGAGAGGTCTGCTGTGCCATGTGGGATTCTCGCTGGCCAGCCAGGATCGAACCCACGCTGCAAAGGCTGCGGACAGCTTCATAGTGCGGCGCTCAACCACCTGCGCCACCAGGGAGGCCCTGCTTATAAAGTTTTTAAGTCGCTTAGTCCAATCCCTGAATAAAAGAGCAAGGGAATTCTACTTGATCCTACAAGTGTACTATTTTGTTTTATGTAATCTGCTAACACCAGGCTTTATGTTATGAGGCCTGCTGAGTGTAGAACAGACTTCAGAGTCACATCTCTTAGCTAAAAACTGCTTATCCTTCATACCCTACTCCATGTGTGCTCTCTGTAAGCTAATGGTACATCAGTGAAGAGCACCCAGTCCAGACCTTACCAGATTTTGTGTTGAACCCAGCAGGCATCTTGATTCTGGTGCTGCCATAGTCCTATGAAGGTTAGACTTGGGGAGTATATTTCCATGCTCCATCATCATCGAGGACAACAATGCCTAGAGAGCAGGCCACCCGGAATACCATGTGGAGCATATTATGATTCAGATTTTCTGACAGATGCTAGATTTCTAAGGTTTTGAGATTGGAAAGTCTTCATGCTTAAAGGCTTGGGAGTGTAGGTAGCAAATTGACAACAAAATTGTGGGCATCAAAAGTGCCCATCATTATTGTGTTAGTCTGTGTGATGAGACTGGTATTGAAGCACAGTTGGTACAGATACATCTGCACAGTTATGCAGATACAGACTCCTAGGCCAGATCAGTTTACTAGAGCAGAATGATTTGGGCCTTTTTGAAAGATAGAATTGGCAAAGTGTGAATCTTTGCCAACACGGCCTGCTAATAGGACTGGTTCTCAATGGTGTGTCAGGTGTTATTTTTTATGATTTATGATTCTTACACCCTCTTCCTCTTTTCAGACAGTGGGCAAAGAATTGTGTCTGCCACAAATGAAACTGTAGTTTTAGGGAACCAGGAGCTTCTTGAGATGAGAGAGAAATGGCGGGGCTAGGGGCACCTGAAGCTGTGCCTGGTCCATCCTGTCAGCATGCACTAAGGCTTCTGATGGTGTCTTATTTCAGAGGAGAAATGTCTCTGAGGAAGATTCTCCTGCAGGGGCTCAGGCTCAAGAATAAAGCTCCTGTTCCTGGGCCTGCCACTTGCCGTCATCAGTGGCTACACCGGCCTTCCACTGCAGACTGGAGGTTGGCTTTGCACGCCTGTGCCTCCCAAGGAGGAGGATGCGTAGTGAGTCAGCCTGGCACAGGCTGGGTCGCATGTCCTGACAGGCACTGCCCAGAGGATAGCATTGGAGAGTAGTTATTCCCAAAGGCCAATCTTGAGAAACCAGGGTGGACTCTAGGTGGTAGGTGGTTGGTGGAATGGACAGCTTAGGCTGGAAAGAAAAGACTAGTCTCCACAAGACCTTGGAGGTGGGCTGGAGAGCTCTGACCCTTTTTGCCAAGGGAGGCTCCAGCCAGAGGCTGGGGGAGAGAGGCCAGTTGGAGACCCTCAGATGTGACATGAGATCTCTCTGGATAGTAGAGGGCTTTAAGGAGGTGTTGAGACCTTGTATAAGAGTATGGATTCATTTGCAGACAAGCAAGCTTTTATTGATTTACTGGTGTGCAAATCCACTCAAACACCTAACAAAATCATTTGTTGGTTTGGTACTTGATAACCTGGGTAAACAATAAACCTCAGATTTAACTCAAGATGGTGGAATAGGTTTGTGTTTGAGCCCAATATAATTTGATTTGCTAATGGGTTCTGTATGCAGCCCTTTTATACCAAAACATCCTTGTCACAAAGATTTTTGCTCTAAGACTGAGGACAAACTAAACTGGAAGTTTCCTGGATTTGGGCTTGTAACTAACAGTTCTGGAGCATAGTCCTGTGGATGATAGGAATTTTTTGTTGGTTTGTTTTGAGGTTCTGAATGGATCATGGTTGACCTTGTGAGGCTAGTGAAATTGCCTTGCAATGTATTTGTGATTGGGATCTAAAATGTGCATTTCGCCTCTGCCACATTTAAACAGAGTGCTCTTGAAGTGCATAAAACAGCAGTTTATTAATGGAGCTGGGACTGACTTTTTTTCATTCTTACAGTTTTACCAGGATGCTTAATAATGTATCATTTCTGGAAGAGGAACATTTGTAATTTTCCTTATTAGAAAAATATTTCATATGGACATGTTGAGACTCATTTGCAGACAAGCAAATTTATTAATGAGGTATATTTATTAATGAAGGAAAGAAAAAAATTGCTGTAATCTTAATATTAACTTGCTGTTTTTATTTTGGTATATATCCTTCCAGCCCTTTTATGTGTTTAATTTGGGACCCCTCTAACCTGACCTCCTAAAAAACAGGGGTACCGGGTTCTTAAATAAACAGCAAAATGATAGAAAACCACAGATTTAAAGAGACCTTAGAGGGAAGACAATCTTTGGCTATTAAGGGAGGGGATAAAGCATCAATGATACTTTTGAGTTTTTCACACTTAGCTTCTTAATATTTTTTGGGGGAAGGCGTCTGTGTTTTTCTTTGTAACATAGCTGAATCTATACCTGTTAGTTACCACCTGGATACATGGTTATTAAAGTAATTTCTCATTACCCCAAAGAGCTTTAGTTATACTCAGCTTTTACCTTAATCCTTGTACAGCTCTGCAGGGCAAACCTTTCTCAGCTCTGAGCGGTCTTTGCAAGTGGGGCCAAGGAGCCACCTTGAACCAAAAAAAGAGCATTATGTCACCGGAAGCCCAAGCCCAGAGAATACAAGGTATGACCCAATAATCACTGGTCCCAGCCAGGTCTTTGCAAGGAGACTCTAATGACTCCTTGTCTAGAGAAGAGCCAGCTGATGATTTTTAGAGTGTAATTAGTCACTCCAACCCACTCATTCAAATCCTGTTCTGTTCACGAGACAATCCTTGGATTGGATGACTCTCTCTGTTCAGAGGCAACTGCAAGGACTTTTTGTTCCAGCTGGCTTCGTTTGACACCTGGTAACATTTCTTCAGTAGTATTCTCCTACCAGACAGACTCACCTAAGCCCAGCTGCGTGGGTGCTCTGAAGCTGTGCAAGCCCTGCCTCAGCCATGAGTAGGGAAAGTGACTCTGGCTGCCCAGGCTGTCCTGTTGGTAATTCAGAGCTGTCCCTCAAATTTGGGAGGGCTGAGGAGAGGTATAATTTTGGTTTTGACAAAATGGCACTAAGGTACACTAAGAGGTCATTCAGCGGACATTGGAATACTTCACGCACTAGATATACAAAATCAGATAGGTTACAGAGGAGAGGATTGATTTTTCACTTTGGTATCTGGTATCATTAGGAGTTAGGAAATACACATTGAAAGGAATGCGCCAAGTGGAATGTTTAGCTAGTATTTTATTTCTCTGTTTTTAAAGGTTTAGATTCTGTAGTTGAGGAAGGACCTGTAACCATCAGTTTTCAGATGGGTTGTCCACAACTGGTGTTAATCAAGCTCCTTGGGCTTTTGACAGAAATTGAAGATGGCAGTGGCTGGTGTAGATGCATATGCTACTTGAGCCACCTGGAGATGCCACAGAGTCCGAGCAGGAGGGAAAAGAAAGAATAAGAATTCCCTTTCTGGGGTGCCTTGGTTTGGAGCCCTGAGATTTAGGAGACAGTGGGGCAGGCTAGAGAGGGACTTATTCTCGAACATGGGTGGGAGTATTTGGGTTCAGGCATTTCCAGAGGAGTAGCCCTTGGTCTGAGAACTTGAGGAAAAGGATAGCTTTCTGCTGTAGAGCTTCTGGCTCATTTCCTTACCTGATGGTTATTCAAACACTGCCCAGAAGCTTCTCAGGTCTCTAATCAGCTAACTAACCGGCCGAGTGAGGTTAGTCAAAGAAAAGCAAAGGTCGGGGCAGTTGTCAGGATTGTGACCTGGGCTGGTTAATTGCCTGGAACAGATGCTCTTTGTTACTGGTGCACTTGTCAGATGTAGAAAGGGAATCAGAATGGTGTCTCAGAAAGTCAATTGGAGCAATCTGACAACATTAATTTCCTCATGTTGCAACTGCCCTGTAAGTGTGGTTGTAATAATTGTAGAGGCAGACCAGTGCCAGTGTGGTAACCCTTGGTTATATGCAGATTATATATCTTACGATCCACCTGACCAAAGGCAGATGTGGTTTGTGGGTACATATTTCTAGGATGAAAGATTTTGCATTTGGGTTCTAGTTGGACTTTGCTTCCTGTCCAGGGACTGGTTTTTATTGCCTGTCAGTAGCTTAGGACTTACGCTTTGCTCCAGGGTGTGAATAAAGGAATGAACTTAAGTGATGTTTTGGGTTAGTGAAAATCTAGGACTCAGGAACTCAGGACCCCTTGAATGGGGATTGTCTATACAACCAGGAAAATCACTGGGTTTGAATGGGGACAGTTTTAAAGAGTCAATGTGGGTGTTCTGCCACAAGGCAGATATTTGTAACTTTGAGACAACTTGCTATACAAATGTCTAGATTTACCAGGGTACTAAACTGGGAGTCGGTTGTTGGTATCACTAAAAGACTGGTTACAACTTCCTTTTCAGGAAGCTCCTTCAAGTACATCAGGAAAACTGTCAAGGTAGATGTTAGTCCAATGTATAGGAGATCTGCTTACAATGGCTGCCTGGGAGGTGCATGCATTGGGCACGAGGCTTTAGCATGTTCTTTAAGGTCCTTTCCACTTGCTCATGGTTTTGTGAGTTAGCCCTTTGAGGAGCACCTACGTAGCCAGAGCATGGCGGGATCTCTGTGGCTTGTGCACACAGTGTGCTGATGGAGTTAATGTGTAAGCAGGAAATGGCCTCCTGTGCCAGGCTGCATGCGAACCACCCTGGGCTTCTCAGACTGATTACTGTCTCTTTACTTCCCCTGGACCCAGGACCTCAGAAGCCATGTCGAAGCACCACACCGATGTCGGGACTGCCTTCATTCAGACCCAGCAGCTGCACGCAGCCATGGCTGACACATTCCTGGAGCACATGTGCCGTCTGGACATCGACTCACCACCCATCACAGCCCGGAACACTGGCATCATCTGTACCATCGGTGAGTGGGTGTGATCCTCCCTAGTCCCAGACCAGGGCCTCAGGTGACAGTGATCTTCCTCTCCTGAGCATGCAACACAGATTCTTAGGGAAGCAGGTAATAGGAAGTTGCAATAAAGCATTAGTATGCTTTATGTTTTGTGCTGAAGACAAAATTTAGAGGGTGTCTTCCTTATCAGATCTTTTAGGAGTTTCTCACAAACCTTTTTGACATGCTCTGTGCAGCCAGGTTCCTGCTGCAGCCAGGTCTTACACTTTCTCAATTAGATGGAGCCTATAGAATTTGAAGGAAACATAAGTATCCATCTAATTCAAGAAGGTGGGCTAGCACAGTAACAGTCTGCTGTGTGTTTTTGAAAGAAAGAAGAGCTATTAGGCTGGGGTGTAGGTAGGGGAGGAATTTTAGGAGGAACAGTGAACTATCCAGAGTTCTTTGAACTTAAAATTTAAAGGATTATTCCTATTCTGAATAATTAATATTGATAGCTTTAAAACTTTATTTTACTAGGCCCAGCCTCCCGATCAGTGGAGATGTTGAAGGAGATGATTAAGTCAGGCATGAATGTGGCTCGTCTGAACTTCTCCCATGGAACTCACGAGGTGAGCCTCACCACCGGGACATCTTATAGGGAGCAGGTGGGGAGGCAGGTATTCCATTTAACCACAGTGGATCAGGCAAGAGTGAGTCTGGGGTTCACAACCATTGTCTTCACACTCTACCCCTGCTCTCCTCTCCACCCCCCAACACCCATACACATCTGCTGCCATGTCAGCCCTCACAAAGGGGCATGTTCTGGCATATAACCCCCCACTTCACCAACATTGTGTTCCAGTATGTCCCATCCCAGGGGTTCTGCTACATTAAAATCAAGCCAGTCAGCACACTTCTTCAGGAGCCTAGTAGGTGGTCTTAATGCTGGTGCAATTTATGAGCTGATTTGACCTATGAACAGAGACCTGACCTAGAACCAGGCCACAACTTTTGGGAAGTGCTCCCTTCCTGCTTCTGTTCCCAAGAAAGGGACAAACTCCTTTTGGGGAGTGTGGGGGCTTCCTGAAGAGGAGGACACTGCCTTTTTTAAAGCTTCAGGCTCAGCCATGAGCCTTGCAGTTTCATACTGGTATTGGTAGAGGAGTAATGAATAAGGTGGACTTCCCTGCTTGGTAGACTGCTGTATTTATTTCCTGTTGATGCTAAAGAACTGCTACCCTGTAAGGTCAAGTGGCAAGGGGTTGCCCTCTGGCATTTGGAAGATGGTGTTGAGACTAAAAATAACGCCTCAGGAAGTGCAATCCAAGAGGTGAATTCCTCCTTTCTGGAAACATGAGACTCTTCATAGATTCCCTAACCCATGTTCCATAAACAGCCTATGGCCTGGCAGGTGGCTGGTCTCCAAATGTCATGGGACCAAGTTAGAGAAACTATGCTCAGCAAGCCCCTCAGGTTAAGATATGCCCCTAATGACATTAAGTAATTTTCCAAAGGCAGGGGTCCGGGGCAGGGGTCACCAGGACTTATTTCAAGTGATAGCTCAGCCCAAAGGGAGAGGTAAAGCCAACAAGTGAGGGTTATTTCGTTATTGATTCTTGCTGTCCAAGTGTGTCCAGGTCTCCCGTGTGCAAGGGAAGGAGCAGAAATAGATTTTGAGAAGTTGACCTTTAACTGGGCTGATGGCCTCTTCCATCCCGTAAGATAAAACCTCTCAGCTCTGAAATGGCAGGGCTGAGTGGGATCTGCTGCACCTGCTGGAGTGGAATTGGCTTTGGGGGTTTGGGTTTTTAAACTACAAGAGGCATTTGAAGATTATCTGTGCTTTTCTTATTCCCAAATTAGAACTAGAATTTAAAAATAGATAAATCCAGAACCTCTTGTGTCTTTAATTTTGAGGTTTTTGACAAGGATAAGGGGGCTCCTGGGATCAGGGTTTTGGAAATTGATCTGAAATTGTCCTAATATATATATAATGTAATGCAAATATTTTTGTTTGATCACATGTCAGGGACCTTATTTGATATGCACCTTTGACTAGAGGCTGGGCCATACCTTTTGGAGCTCTTGGGAAGTTTTCAACATTCCTGTAAGCAAAAACATTGAAATTGAGATCTCTCCTTTACCCAGGCGGAGGGACATCACTGTCTCATTGTTATGAGCTTTTGACAGCTTTGCCAGTGTCTCTGTCCCCCATTTGTGGCAGTTCATGGGGCAAAGTCTGTTTATTGAATATGTGTGCCCATAATGCCGTGTTGGTCAGAAATACCTACTTTTAACCAACCTAAATTTTGACCTTTCATAGGGACAACATTGATTGATGGGATTATTAAAACTTGAAAACATTCAACAAAGCTACAATCACAGTAGAAGAGTCCAGTATACCTCCCAGATATATACCAAAAGATGGTAATATAGTGGCTTTGAATAATTGGTTATATGATTAGTGTATACTTTTATGTCTCCAAGGCTAAAAGTGTGTGCTTTTTTTTTTCAGTATTCACGGTTTAAAAATATACTAGGCCACCAAAATTAGAAATTATATAGATCACATTCTCTGACATTTTTATGAAAATTAAGAACAAAGTCTTCCATAGTAATCATGAAAATGTATACTCTTAAATCTACGTATCAGAAAGCAAAGGTCTGAAATTTAACAAAAAAAGAATTTCACCTAAACACTGGAGGAAGAAACCTAAACCTTAAAAAGGTGAAGAAAAGGAATTCACTTACAAGCATAGCTTTATGAAATGGAAAATAAACCTGATAAATTAAGCAAAGAACTGATTCTTGATAGTGTAATAAATAATCATTAATTTAAAAAGTTGGAAACTTCTAAAAAGCCTGGTCAAGAAAAAGATGCACAAAAAAAGATGAAGAACAGAAAAGAAAACTATATATAAAGAGTTTTAAAATCATAAAAGACTTATGCATTAAGGTCCTGTAAATTGAAATAAAATTGACTCTTTTCTAAGGAAAGGTAAATATTTAAGAATTCAAAAATTTGAATAAACAGCCTTAAGATTGAAAAAGGTAATTAGGATCTGGACTCTGATCGGAACACTAGGCCTATAAGATTTTGAAGGTTCATACGCTAGACCAGTCTCATTTAGAATGTTACATAAAGCATAAAGTTAAGTCTAATAATAGTGTATTAAAGGAATTTCATGACCCATGACCAAGTAAACTTTAATTCTGCATTTGGATTAAATATGGTCAGTGCAATGCAAGAGAATGATAATAGGTGACACTAAATAACTACTCTATGCTCACCTCTATATACTTAATTTACACACATCAACTCTGAGAAAAAGGCATTTAATAATATTTAGAACTCATTCCTCTAAAAAATGATTTATACTTATAGTTGATAGTCTATACTATTTTTATTGCAAGCCAACAATAGAAAGAAACTTCCATAACTTAGACTTATGAACTCTACCCAGTGACACCAATGGTTCTCATTATAGACTGTCTAAATGGCATACTGAAGATTGTTCTGACACCAGCCTCAAGTAATACCAACCTTGGAGGTGAAGCTCTACTTCCAGCTCCCTTCTATCCACCTATTTGCAGGACAGTGGTAGCTGGTTAAAGGACAAGACCCACAGTGCTGAGTGCTTCTGTTATCAGCAATGTCATATTGATAGGGCCTCTGTTATCAGCAGTGTCCTATTGATTACACTGAGTACTTTTGACATCTTGGCCCTGAATCCACTTTAGTCAAACAGTAATGGCAAGTGGAAAGAGATAAGGGATGAAGAGAGAAGATTGACCAGGATTTGTTGCAAGTGAAGAATAGCAAAGGGCAACTCAGAAAAAGGCACTATCTCCCTTTCCCTATTCCACTTGCATCTCTAATCATACTCTAGAAAGTGATTGCACAAACCAAGTCTGCATGACCTTTAGTAGTGTATTATTTAGCTTAGGCTGCTGTTAGCTAAGTAAATAATTTTGAGTTTGAATTTTAGTGAGAATCAATAGAGAGAAAACTCACAATTACCAGGTATATCAGAATCTGACTCCAATTGCAAGACCAATATTATCCAAACACAAATTCTAGGTCTTTGCTCTAGTTGTTTGCTTTATTTGATGAGTCTTAGGCAAGAGAACACCCGAAAGGACACAACTTTTTTATGTGTTGAGACACTCAGACCTTTAATGGTTTTAGTGGCAAAATCCTAAAGTTCCTAAGTTTTGCCCTCAGAATGAGTAGCTGAGCCTGTCAGATAATGGATGTGGAGGTCTAGATCATCTGCAGGTCTATCTTGAAGGAGCATTGTCAGTTCCAGAGGTACTAGTGTTATGGGAGGACACTTGCCATCTTCCTTCCTCTCCCCTAGTATCATGCAGAGACCATCAAGAACGTGCGCACAGCCACAGAAAGCTTTGCTTCTGACCCCATTCTATACCGGCCCGTTGCTGTGGCCCTGGACACCAAAGGACCTGAGATCCGCACTGGGCTCATCAAGGGCGTGAGTATCCTGGGAGAAGAGGGAGGGTGGGTCCTTCTTCAGCCTTCTTCAGCAGCCTCTCCTTGCCCAGAAACCATAGGCTTGAGTTTAGGTCTATAAATGAGGGTTTTGTTCATCACAGTCAAAAATGTTGCTTTGTCTTAGCTCACTAAGAGTGATAACAGAAAGGGATCTTTATAGTCTACAAACCTACTTCCAAGTCTCTCTAACTTTAGGAAGCAGTTTCTTTGTCTGTCTTTCCCTAGCATTAAATAGCATAACTAAAACATTATGGTTTTTTTCCTTTTTTTCCTTGGGTTATTTCTTAAAATATACGAAGTTAGAGAATACCATTCTTTATACCCAATGGGAAATGTTTTATTGTTACTTGTAGCTGAGATTGGAGCTTTGCTCCTTGGAGAAAAGAGCTTTTCATTTCCTGCCAGGCAGGCCTGGCCTCTGTGGTTGGGACTCAGGGCTTACTTTCCTGTCTGTAGAGCGGCACTGCGGAGGTGGAGCTGAAGAAGGGAGCCACTCTCAAGATCACCCTGGATAATGCCTACATGGAAAAGTGTGATGAAAACGTCCTTTGGCTGGATTACAAGAACATTTGCAAGGTGGTGGAAGTAGGCAGCAAGATCTATGTGGATGACGGACTTATTTCTCTGCAGGTGAAGGAAAAAGGTATGTTCAGTATTCAGGGTCTACTTATCTAAAACCATCTCGTACCTCTAAATTTCTTTGACAGAAAGAAGAGATAGGAAGTTTGCTTGGCTGATAGCAAGGTTGAGTCTTTATATCCTGAAGAGTTATTGCTTATCCTCAAAACTAGACTTCAAGTAATCATGTTCTTGGGAGCACATGAGATTTCTTTTTGAAATCTTTTGGCTTTCTGCTTCCTGCCTTCATCCCTCAATATGATCTGTACAGGACTCCAGTGTGACTGTGAATAGTAGGGTTATTTTAAAACAACCCTATGAGTAGATATTATTATCCCTATTTAACAGGCACAGGGAAGTGAATTGACTTCCCCCAGGTGACACAGTGGGGCTAGGATTTGAACTCTGGCAATACACTCCATTGCACAAGGTACTGCTTCTCAGTTCACAGTACTGTGGGGAGAGACAGCTGGTTCCTGGCCTCTTCGTATGGAGGACGTGTGCCCTCATTGCTCTGCATACCCACGTGCTCCATTTCACACAGGTGCTGACTTCCTGGTGACAGAGGTCGAGAATGGGGGCTCCTTGGGCAGCAAAAAGGGTGTGAACCTTCCTGGGGCTGCTGTGGACCTGCCTGCTGTGTCGGAAAAGGACATCCAGGATCTGAAGTTTGGGGTGGAGCAAGATGTAGATATGGTGTTTGCATCTTTCATCCGCAAGGCATCTGATGTCCATGAAGTCAGGAAGGTCCTGGGAGAGAAAGGGAAGAACATCAAGATCATCAGCAAAATTGAGAATCATGAGGGAGTTCGGAGGTCAGTCCCTTGCCTGTCCCTTGCCACCTCCTTCAGCCCCAGCCTCTCTTAAGAGCAAGATGTATCCTATGAATACCTGGTTCGCAAACCTGGCTACCTGCCCATCAGTATGCAGACTCCTCAGCCAGTCCCAGGCCCTCTGAATCAGAATACTTTAAGAGGCTAGTCAGTGGAAGGCATTGATATTACCAAAAAAGCATCCCAGGTGATTGGGATGCCCGCTTATCTCAACCCTTTTCTCTTGGCCCAGATATCAGCATTGCAGAGGGAGGACAGGGCCTCTGCACTGTGTTCCAAGTTCAGAGCACTGCCTTTGTTTGCTGGAATGGGGGGATGGTCAAGAGAAAGTTCTTGGAAAGGGGCTCTTTTTCACTTGGGAGCCATGTGGAAGAAAGCTCAGGGCTTGGTGTAGACACTGAAATCATGGCTTCCAAGTCTTCAATTGGACAGCCACTGGCTGATGATCACTATGATCTGACATGTGCCTGCTTCCCAGAGCAAAGCCTGTGGTTCTCCTCCAGGTTCAGATTGTACCAACTCAAGGAGGAGCCAAATGACTGTGGCCAGCTTGGTGACATCTGTTCCTCTTTGGCTTCCCACTGGAAAGAACTCAGACATGCTAAACCCCACACCTACTTGTGTGAGTTTAGGCATATGCTTAGGGAGGGTGGGAGGAGCAGCTCTACCCACTGCTGTGACCCTGCCATCCTTAGCTTAGTGTTGATTTCCTTTGTACCAGGCCATTTGGGGTCCTCCCTAGGCCATCCTTGATAAGCCATGGGTGATAGCTGGCTTGATCCCAGCCAAAAAGCCCCTGACCTCCTGTCTTCAGCAGGTTGGAAGGGGTCATGGGCCTTGTGTCAGAGTAGTCAGCAGACCTCAGGTAGCTTTTTCTACCCTGGAGTACTGACTGCAGTGGAGATAGTAGAGACACATTAAGTGGGGCCTCAACAAGGTATCGATGGGGAGGAAGTGAGTCCATGGGGCTTTGGAGGAGACCTCACCCGTGCCCCTTCCCCCCAGTGATGTATCCACATGGGCACAGTTTGCCCACTGCGGGAACACCCACCCCACCACCTCCATGCACCCATGATTATGTCCTAGGTCATGGGCAACTGTCCTTGCACACAGACACCCAAGTTAGAATCCCAGTGATCTTTGCCTCACTGTTTATTTTATGGCTCCTAACCTCTCTTCCCACCTTCCCTGTCAGGTTTGATGAGATTCTGGAAGCCAGTGATGGGATCATGGTGGCTCGTGGTGATCTAGGCATTGAGATTCCTGCAGAGAAGGTCTTCCTTGCTCAGAAGATGATGATTGGGAGATGCAACCGAGTTGGGAAGCCTGTCATCTGTGCCACACAGGCATGTGTCTCTCCCCTTATACATGGGAAAGCTTTGGGAGCTACCTGGTCTCTTCTCATGGATCCTGCCCCCACCTCCCCTACCCTTCCCTCTCTTTCACTCTCTCTTTCTCACACACACACGCACGCGCACACACACACAAACACAGAGTCCCTCTCTCCCACCCACTTTTCACCCCTGCAAAGTGCCATGCTCTGTGCACATACATACACAGTTATGTATGACAGGGGTACAGACTTCAGTCATTCATCTCTGAAGACAGCCCATGTCACAAGTTTCTAATGTTTTATCTCCTCCCAGATGCTGGAGAGCATGATCAAAAAGCCTCGTCCCACCCGGGCTGAGGGCAGTGATGTAGCCAATGCAGTCTTGGATGGAGCTGACTGTATTATGCTATCTGGAGAGACAGCTAAAGGGGACTACCCCCTGGAGGCTGTTCGCATGCAGCACCTGGTAAGTTCTTTGGGCTTTCCTGTCTCCCTGGGCTCAGGCTGGGGCTGGGATGGGGCAAGCCCCAGTACAAAGCAACACCTTACAGGCTTCTGCACTCAACATCTTTTATGATCCTCCAGGTGACAAGAGGTGTGTGCTGGGGGTAGAAGTGTCTTTTTTTTTTTTTTTTAATTCTACCTCCCATGCTCACATTCCCTCTCCTGTTTCCATCTGTTTGGGAGGTATTCTCCTCCATTGGACATAGCCCAGTTTATTTCTGGCTTCAGGGTTATAAATCCTTCCCGTGGCTCGATTATTGGCATACTTGTACCTCTTTCTCTGAACAGCCCAGAGGACTTTGCTTTATTCTGGAAAAGGCCCAGAACTCCTGTTCCCAGTTGTCCTCTTTGTTTGATTCCCTACCTGTCCTTCAGACAAGTGCCTCCCCCACAGGGCCTCTGACTGCACTGGGGCTGTTGTCCGCACTGAGCTGACTGCCTGCTGGGTTTGCATGGTGTCTGCAAGTGGGTCCTGCTTTGCTGGGCTGCTGCACTCACTCCCCAGACTAAAAACTGGATTTAAGTGATGGGTGACAGGTCCACAAATAGAGACAGGTGGTAGGATGGCTGTTTCTGGAGTGAGAGCATCTGGAGGGTCCTGTGTGTGACCCTTCTTTTCTCCCCAGGGGCTAGCTGGTCACAGCTCCTCTACTGGGCCATGTCCCACTGCCTGGCTGCTTCTCAGGGTTGGAGACTCAGTGCCTCTGCCCCAATTGCGTATTTTCGAGCTTACTGAAGAGTCAATGCAGGGAGCCATTATCAGGCTTATTATGCCGGGTCAGGTTTTTTTTTTTTTTTTTTTTTTTTCTTAAGATTTATTTATGTAAGTACTGGGTACAGTCAGAAGTGTGAGAGGGTGAGCGAATTCACCAGAGCCAGAGCAGGGAACAGAACAGGCAGACTGACCAAGTACACTGCTGAGGGGAGCAGCAGGTGCGACGGGAGAGGTCTGAGCGCCATGTGGGACCCTCGCTGGTGGCCGGGGATCAAACCGGCACTGCAGAGGCTGCGAGCAACCTCACAGCCCAGCGCTCAACTGCTGTGCCACTAGGGGAGGCCCTGTCCTGGGTCAGTTCTTAAAGTGAACAGCTCAGTAAATTTGTCTCTTACCTTGAAATGTTTTTTTTTTTTCTTTAACCTTCCTATTCACTTTGTAGCCCATTGTCTTTATGTGGCATCCCCCTCAAAGAAAGAACCTCTAGACTAGACATCTTCCTTTTCTCCTTCACTTCCTTTGTGTACAGTTCCTAGGCTTCAATAACTCCCAGAGAAGACGTGTTTTTATATTAAACTTTTTTTAATCTCTTTTTTGTTTTTTTAAGATTTATTTATTATTTATATAAGCACTGGATACAGTCAGAAGCGTGGGAGGGTGAGAGAATTTGCCAGAGCAGAACAGGGAGCAGAGCAGGCAGAAGGACCGAAGTACACTGCTGAGGGAAGCAGCGGGCGGCAGGAGAGTTCTGCCCGCCATGTGGGACCCTCCTCCTGTGGCCCGGGGAGCAGTTGGGGATCAAACCGGCGCTGCAGAGGCTGCGGGCAGCTTCACAACCCAGTGCTCAACCGCTGTGCCACCAGGGAGGCCCCTATATTAAACTCTTTCAGTAGTAAACAGAGATGTCTCAACTAAATAGATCTCCTGGGGTCTCCTCAGCATCCTTGGTGGAATCCCCACTTTGAAGTTGGGAGAGACCAAATACCTTGGCTGAGATGCCACCCCGTGTGACGTGATTGCTGTTCTGAGCCCAGGGTCTCTGGTGGGAAGGTGCCTTCTCTCCCCCAGGAGTCAGTAGACCTTAAACCAGTCTCCTCTAGGTGGCGGCTGTTAAAAGTGTATGATCCTAGCTTTGCGCAGTGGCAGTATCGTAGCCAATGAGGTTTATCCGAGGCGCGATTATTGCTAATTGAAAAGTGTATGATCCTCCGTGTACCCCCTTGCTTAGTTGTGTGGGTTCATATCCTTAGAGGTCAGTAAGTGACCTTGACCTGATTTACTGAACCATGAAACCACCTAGACTTTTTTGTGACCTCTAAAGGCCTTATCAGTAAAGTGAATTAGATGAGATGTGTTTAATTGCAGCCTTAGTAGTAAATATTTACTACCATTAAATGCTTGGTAAGTTCCTGTGTAGATTGATGTAATATTCATAACCTCTGTGAGGTAGATGACCCCAATTTATAATGAGGGTTCCATGATAAGATCTGGGTTTGCATCCAGACCCATTGCCTCCGAAGCCAATATGTCCTGCAACATAGCACTTTGGGGGGCCTCCCTGGTGGCACAAGGAGTTAAGCGCAGCACTGTGAAGCTGTCTGCAGCCTCTGCAGCGCCAAGTTCGATCCCCTGCCAGGGAGCAACCCACATGATGCAGCAGACCTCTCCTGACTCTCCCACTGCTCCCTTCAGCAGTGTATTTCAGTACATCTGCAGGTTGTGTTCCCCGCTCTGTATCTGGTGAATCCTCTTATCTCCCAAACCCTCTGGCCTGTACCCCAGTTCTTGTATGCATAAATAAATAAACAAAATTAGCACTTTGGTAGCAGGAAATTAAAAAGGACTCGTCTCTATTTGAGGCGTCTCCTGTGCTCAGAGACTAAAGTCAGGCTCAGGGCTCTGAATGCCATGTCCATCCGTCCATATCCCAGTCTTCCTGTGAACAGAGAGACCATAGAAACTGCAAGGTTTGTGTTACATGGCACTGCTCCCATGGGGTCTGAGCTGGGTGTGCAGGTCGCCCCTTCCCGTGTCTCCCATCAATGCTGACAGCTTCTCCTCTTCACTGTTGACTGCTCTCTCCTTTGTCTTAACTGGTGCAGTTAACGACCCGTAACTAAGGGCTAGGCAGTACCAGGTATGGTTCTATTTCCTATTCATGTCCCCTGTCTTTGGGCTGCATGCTTTCTGTTCCTACAGAAAGAAAACCTTTAACCTAGTAAATCCTGCTATACATGTGCATATACTGTCTAATTAATGAGATGGCATCACTGATTCCTCATAACCCTTCATTCTCTTAAGAGGCTGGTAATTAGATTATAATCTTCGAGATCTTAAATTTTCTTCCTAATTTTTGGTGTTCTCTGAGCAGGTGCTCTATAAATAACTTGATGGCTTTCTCATGCCTGTTAATCATTAGAGTTTAATCATTTGTCTAATTAAACTTAACGTGCGCACTTCCACAGGCATCTGTCTCTTCACATGGCTATTCGGTGTGCCCCCTATTTGTTCACCATCCTGCTTAGACGCAATGAAGCTTTCGCCAGCATTCCAGTGCTTCTCAGTGAGATTCCTTGGCAACCATGGGAAAGGTTCCCAGCACCCCCGTGTCTGAGGCTGAGCAAGCATTCCACATGTACTTGGAAGCTGAGCAGGAAGTCCTGCAGTAACCAGACAGCCATGTGAGGAGGGAGGGCCTGTTCCTTTCTGTAAGCTGTGTCGTGAGGCAGTATGGTCAAATCCTGCCAGGGAGTGTTGTGGGCCCCACCTGGGCCTGATTTCACACCCAGGTGCTAGAGCCTGCTGCCATATTGTATACCGCCTCCACCCCAGCCCACCACAAAGTCCTTCCAGAATGGACGGACCAATTTCGCCTCTATTGGAGGGGAAACGGCAGCAGTTGACACTGGCTCACACATCCCTGAGCAGGCTTTCATCACCCAGCCTCTTTGCATCTGCCTGAGGACAGATTTAGCCAATTAACCTAAGATTACCTTCTCTCTGATTAATTCCTCATTCTGTCTTTCCATGTGTGTTGTCTCTTTTTTTCTCCCTTTCCCTCTTCCTTGCTCTGTCTCCCCCTAAACCTTACAGATAGCTCGTGAGGCTGAGGCAGCCATGTTCCACCGCAAGCTGTTTGAAGAACTTGTGCGGGCCTCAAGTCACTCCACAGACCTCATGGAAGCCATGGCCATGGGCAGCGTGGAGGCTTCTTATAAGTGTTTAGCGGCAGCTTTGATAGTTCTGACGGAGTCTGGCAGGTAGGGCCCTAAGGGCAGGTAATTCTGCAGGATAACCAGCCTCTTGCTTCAGCTGCTAGAAGACAGCCACTACTGAGACTGGGCTCAGAGCCTCTTCTCATCTGCAGGAAGCCAGCCAGAAAGGGCAGGGCAGGACCAATGGGCCTGTTGGTTCGGTAGGCACAGTGGATGACACAGCCACCTGGTGAAGGACTGGTTCCTGTGAGTCAGTCTTGCTTATCACGACTCTCCAGTGATTGGGTCCTCTTGACCTTTGCACTCAGGGACATGTTCCTCACCAAGTGTCTGGGCAATTCCTCCCCTCCCTCTCCCATCGTGACACAGCTCTGACAAAGCTCTGTCCCCCCTTCTCGTCCCTCTGGACGGATGTTGCTCCCCTAGATTGCCCGTGAGGCAGAGGCCGCCATCTACCACATGCAATTATTTGAGGAGCTCCGCCGCTTGGCGCCCATTACCAGCGACCCCACAGAAGCTGCCGCCGTGGGTGCAGTGGAGGCCTCCTTCAAGTGCTGCAGTGGGGCCATAATCGTCCTCACCAAGTCTGGCAGGTAGGAGGTGGGAGTGGCTCCTAGTGAATGCTCTGCACATTTCCTCGGGGGCCCTGGGAGCAGTGCATTGAATGGTGCTCAGATGGTGCTGAGCCCCAAGGTAAGATCCCTCTGCCTGCCACCTGGACCCCACAGGGAAGGAGCATCCCCAGCTCCAGGCCAGAATCTTGAGTGACAAGAGTCCCTTCCCCGGGCCCAAAGGACTCCATGCAGTGCGCATAAGGCATGTTCGGCCACTTACCATGAACTGGAAACTTCATTGCATAACTGCAGATAGACTGACTACAAATGGTTATCTGGTATTTAAAAGCTTGTCTCTAATATAATAGAAGACAATCAGTTCTGCTCATTCCAGTTGTCATGTACTTTTTCAAAGTTCAGTTTGCAGAATTAGCGCTGTTCACTGACCTGTTGATTGGTTGGTGCACCTGTCCCTGTCCATCTTCAAGACCCAAAAACAAATGGATTCTAGCCTAGGAAAGGCTGTCATGTTGTCTGGCTGGCACTTCATGGTAGGTACCATGCAGTTGAGTGGAAGTCTGGGCCTGGCCTCGCACTTGGGATTCCTTCCTGGTCTAGGACATGGAGTCAGCCTCCATCACTCCCCGAGCTTGTGTTCATGTGGCCACTGGGGCATCCTGCAAGAGGAGCAGGCGGGTGGTCCCCATGCACTGAGGTGAGCTGCCTGTAGAACCAAAACAGACCAGGCAGCAGAGGACTCAGGATAAACAGTTCCAACCATTACATTGACCTTTATGAAAAGGTCCATCCTCTGCTATTTGGCTATTATTAGCTCCAGTCTCCTGGGGTTTTACTATCAGCAAGTTCCGACTTCAACAGCTGCTTCCTTCTGAAAGCCTTACATGGAGACCAGGCTTTTTAAATAGGACATGGTGTTTCCCTGACACCTCTTGAGTGCCCCCATCATTTGCCTTCCGGGGTCCAGCTCCTCCTGAAATCTTCTTCCCAAACCTTAAGACATCTGCAGCTCCAGGTGTGCGCTGTCAGTGTTCATGTAAGCATCTGGCATTGGAGCTTCAAAGGGGTCCTCTACCTCCAGGGGAGCATTCACAGGCAGCCTCCCACACTTACCATGCTCATCTCCTGGCCTTGCCTCTGGGGCAGCGCCCAGACTTCTAAGCCTCACTTAGATAATCAGTATAAGCCTGGCTTAGATAATCAGTTTTGCTGCTGAGGCTCTTTCCAGGAACCTGAGGGTCATATGGTCAGGGTTGTCCATTCTTTGTCATCTACTCATTACTGAAGTTTTTGTAAATTGACTAGAGCTGCTGCACTGTGGAGTGGCGCACACACAGATCTTGTGCTCATGTGGCCTTTGGCTTGCATTGTTGATTCCCAGGGGCACTGGTGGGCTCTACTCCTGTTCTTTACAGATGTCAAGAGTCAGGTGGTGTTCTTATGCTGCTTGGCTTACAGCTGTTGCTGGCAGCAAGAGGAATGGGTGCTGGTGAGGTTGCCACATGGGACGAGCCTGGCTGTGCTGGGTCAGCATGATCCTGGAGTCCTGCCTATGGGGGTGGAGGGATAGAAGGCAAATGCAACAAAGAAAAGTTTTATGCTGTGGAGGAGACAGAATGGGGTCTGTCCTTGTCTTAAGAGGCAGCTCCCCATTCCAGAGAGGACCCAGGAAGCACATGTTGAAATTACTAGAGGCTCAGGCTGGCATAGTGAGTTGGAATAGAGGGCGAGCTATTGCTATAGATCCTGAGGAGCATCCCAGGAAATTCCTGGGACACTGCTTAATGGTTTTTTCTGCCTGTCCACCACGCTATCTCAGGTCTGCTCACCAGGTGGCCAGATACCGCCCCCGTGCTCCCATCATTGCTGTGACCCGGAATCACCAGACAGCTCGCCAGGCCCATCTGTACCGTGGCATCTTCCCTGTGGTGTGTAAGGACCCAGTGCAGGATGCCTGGGCTGAAGACGTGGACCTCCGGGTGAACTTGGCCATGAATGTTGGTATGTGGCTTTGAGTAAGAGCTACAGCCTGGAGGGTAGGAGTACCTAGGCAGTGGGACACTACTGAAAGGGAACGTGCAGGCCTTAGGATGCCTTAGGAATGTGCAGGCCTAGCTGACCTTGCTGGGAATGCTCCTCTGAATTCCCCATCTCATTCCCAAAGTGTTAGGCTCAGCCCTGGGTGAAGGGGGGGGACCAGACCTTTGCATTGTGGGTCTGAGAAACTCATTTCTTCTCACTCTCCTCATTTATGGTTCAAAACAGGATTCTGGACAAGTCAGGTTTGTCCATTCTTTGTCATTACTCATTACTGATTTTTTAAATTGACCACAGAGCTGCTGCACTGTGGAGTGGTGCACACACAGATCATGTACTCATGTGGCCTTTGTCCCTGTATAAGAGAATGTCATGGGATGAAAGGAAGCAGCTTACCTTTGAACATGGGCAAGGCTCTCCATCCTCTGGACTATGAGATGGATGCTGTCCCTTTTTCTTGCCAACTCTGCCATCTGTGCCAAGTTTCAGAACTGCCCTTGTCCCTTTTGCCTGGACTTGGGAGGCTGGTGCCACCTTGTGGTGTGAGGAAGTAATGATCAGCCCGCCCTGCTCACTGCTTACTGCTTGCTGGGTGATGAGTGATCAGCTATGTACATCTCTACCTGGCTTACTTTTTCTCACCAAACTTCTTTCTCTTCCTCCAGGCAAGGCCCGAGGCTTCTTCAAGAAGGGAGATGTGGTCATTGTGCTGACCGGATGGCGCCCTGGCTCTGGCTTCACCAACACCATGCGTGTGGTGCCAGTGCCATGAAGGGCCCCCAAGAACCCCTCTTCAGTCCCCATCCTTTCCCCTTCCCCCGATCCATCCGTTAGACCAGCAATGCTTATAGTGCTCACTTGGGGCTGTAGTGTGGCACTGGTGGGCTGGGACACCAGGGAAGACGATTAGCGCCTCTATGAGACATGGTAGTTTTTAAGACCCTGCTTGGCTGGGGTAGCCCAGAGTTGGGCTGTCTATCATGTGGCTCCAACCCATGAAACAGGCCAGGTTGGGGTGGAGGCTCCAGAGCTGAACACAAAGGGCAATAGCCCCTGCTCCTTCTCCTTTGTGTACTGTGTTCAGTTCCTATAGAAATGGATTCCCAGAAAACTTCCAACCCTGGCCTGGGGTCAGGAGACAGCCAGCAAGAGAGGGGCCTTCCAGCATGGGGCAGTGTTCCAGTTTAAGTAGACTGTCCCTGGTCCTTAATTGCTTCTCCAACACCCCTGCCTTCCCACCTCCCGCCTTGTGCATAGTGCACTTTGTTCCTGCACTCCACTCAGCTGCAGACAAATACTCCACTTCCACCTTCCATTTTCCCTACGGCTGTAGCCTGTTGCTATAGAGCCTACTTGTATGTCAATAAACAACAGCTAAAGCTCCTGTTGCCTCTTTCTGATTTTTTGGGGGGAAAGGGGGACGTTGGTTTGAACCCGGTCTTCTGAGTGAAAATGGTAAGAGCCTTGTGCCTCCTGTGGGTGATCCTGTTACTCCAGCCACCACCTATCTCCAGGGCACAGAGGTGCTGGGAAGCAGTAACTACTTGGGGGATAAAAGTTCCCTTTTCAGCACCCCAGGGAGGTGTGATAGCTCTCTCTCAAAACTCCTGCATCTGGAGAAATCTTGAACCAAAAGATGGGAGAGGGCACCATGGAGGGCCCCTACCAGAGTTCCCACCTTTTTGCCTTGGTGCATAAGCCAGTAATGAAGTGGTCCTTGGCTTGCCCCTCCCTCCCTTAGGTCATCCTGCTTTAGATGCCCCGAATTTAAAGGACCTGTAGGATGAGACCTGGTTCCCAGTGAAAGAGTCAGGACCTGGGGCCAGATTCTGTTTTCAATGCCCAGAAGGCCTGCAGCTCTGGGGTCCCTTTGTGCTCCTTTTGTTTGCTGATTACTTCATCCCATGATGAGGCAGGGACCAGGTGGGGGAGGCTTGGGAATGTAACTGAGAATGCCTGCTTTTTTCCTCTTCTGACCATTCAAGGATCAAAGCCTATCAGGTGAGCAAAGGAAGAAAGGGTTCACAGGCCAGCTAAGTTAGGGGGTAGGACTTTGGTCCCATTCTCAAGACTCAGTTCATTGCCACGCCCCATCAATATCGAAACTGTTCTGCCTCCCATCCTCACCCTATTTCTGCCCACTTTCCGTGCCTCTGCAAGCTCCTCTAAAATTTTGCCTGGAAGTACAGAAGTTTCCAATTCGAGAAGTGCTTAAAAGCAATTCCTGGGCTCTCCAACTATCACGTTCAAAAATCCCCACTGGTGTTCCCTACTCAGTTACTCTGGTGCGGAGAGAAATTGAAACCTACTCTGGAGTTCGATTTTCGGGTTGGGAGGCTGGCGGGGAATCGGTTCCTGCAGACGGTTTCAGTTCTGAACCGGGGGAGCTGAAGAGGAAGACCCTGGAGGGAACCCCCGGCCCTAACCGTGAAGGGCTGGCGGTACAGCCCCGTAACTTGGCCTCCCGGACTTTCTCGTCGTGAGCTGGAGCAGCAGGATCTGCGCAGAGCTCGGGACACCAACCTGGTTCTGGAGAGGGAGTGGAACGGCCAATGGGTCGGGCCCGTCCCGCGCAGGCAGCCAGTAGGCGCGCGGGGGCGGGCCCTCCCGGGACCGACGAGGGCGGGCGCTCTGGCCAGCGCGCTATTCCCCGCGCTCGCCGCCCGCGCCGCGATGACCGCTCTGAGCCGGGGCGGCACCGCCGAGGCTGGCAGGTAAGGAGCTGCGGCCCTCGGGTCGGCTTCAGGGCGCCGGAGACCCGCGCGCCCGACGCTGCCGGGCGGGGTGGGGCGGCCGCGAAAGCCGCGGAGCCTGTGCGCGCAGTGCCCGCGGGGCAGGCACTTCCCGGCCGCCGGAATGCGGGCTCCGCTCCAGGGCTGCGCGCGCGTGCCGGTGCGCCCCTGGTGCTGGGAGGTGACCGTGCGGGATGTCAGACTGTGTCTATGGCCCTGGAGCGGGACCTGTAGCCTGGGCGGTTAAGGACGGCCTGTGGGCATCAGGGTGGTGGGGGTGCCCACCTTGGGGCGCCGCTCATCGTCCGCCCCCACCCCTCCGCCGCGGTCCTGTTCATTCACTCTAGTATTTACTCATTCATTCCCAGAACTTTATGCACCCCAGTTGCTATTGCCTCCCACCAAAGGATGTCGCCTCCCTGGGGACCCTCAGAGGGGTCATGCTCTCCCCTATACCAGCCGGTCTGCACTTGCAGCGGCCCGCGGCTGCCCAGAAGGCTGCGTGGAGCTGTCCTGGCACGACTCGGCCGCACCCGTGCGCCGCGATCTTCCCAGTCGGGCGGGCTGGGGCGGGTCTCTCAGCCCGGAGAGCTGATCCGACGTCGCTCCGAAGAAGCAAAGCTCTTGCAGCTGGAAAAGGGGCGAGAAGGCAGAGCGGGAGGTGGCTTTTCAGGTGACATCAAGAATTGTGGCCTTGGCCGTTTGAGGTCTTGAGGCCCTGGGAGTAGGATTTAGGGGGTAGATAGAGCCAGAGGAAGAAGCTGTAAGTTCCTGTCCTTCCTCAGGTCTCAAACTCCACCTCCTGAGCTCTGGAGGTCTTCGCACCCCTGGCTAGCGAGCTCTAGAGCAGGTAGCATGAATGTGGGAGCCCTGTGTCTACTTCACAGAGGTATTATGGAGCTGGGGAGATGCCAGGGGTTCCCGCTTTCTGTCCTCAAAGAGGGCTCTACCCAGCTGACATTTGTCCTTCTTTGCTTGCTTGCTCCCCTTCCCACACTTCACGATGGTTTAAGGGTGCCCACTACTGCAAGGAGCCATCACCTAGGGAATGACATCTATGATGTCTTTGTCATGGCTCTGTCTGACTCTTCTAAGAGCAAAGCTTTAGGTGTGGGGCAGGACTGGCAAATCGAGGTGAAATAAAGGGTGTCCCTATCACCCTGCAGTGAGTGAGAAAATGAGGATTTCCCCTCCATAGTCCTCTGATCACACTGGCTGGAGTCTGGTGTGGTTCATGCCAGTAGTCCCTCAGATTTAAGGTTACCATTCGACAGGGCCAGTTAAGTAGTGAATAGGTCTGTGGGGCACATAGGTAGAGCTGACCTATCCATGCCTTGATGAAGTGAACTGCATTGACATTTCTGAGCTTAGGGAAGCCCTCAAAGTCTTAGTGCAGACCAGAAAGCCATGTGTACCCCTTTATCTACCTGGAATGCCCCCACTGAAGTTCAGGTGGGCACCACTCAAGGTGCTTTATGCCAGCCAGCTCCCTGAAGTTCTTCCAGGAGCATTCTTGCGGGGTCCCACCCTGATTAAACCTTTGTGGTGGCCCTTGAATTCCAGGTATCAAGGCCTCCCTGGTGGCACAAGGGGTTAAGACACAGCACTATGAAGCTATCCTTAGCCACTGCAGCATGAGTTCGATCCCTGGCCAGGGAGGTGACCCACACGGCGCAGCAGACCTCTCCTGTCTCACCCACTGCTCCCCTCAACAGTGTATTTCAGTCAATCCACCTGTTCTGTTCCCCACTCTGTCTCTGGTGACTCCTCTCACCCCCCACACCTCTGACCTGTACCCCAGTTCCCCAGTTCTTGTATGCATAAATAAATAAATCTTTAGTATATGTGCTGCCGAAGCAAACACAATAAATAAATCTTTAAAAATAATTCCAAGTATCAGGTTTATCAGACCAGCAAGAATCAGAAGTGGGTTCACAGCCTCACAATGCTCTATTTTGCTGAAACTTAGGACTAGTCAGTGCCCTCTCTGGACCTGCTTTGCCATCAAAAAGTAAGGAGATGGTAGCATAGGCTCTTAAAGGCTTTCTTCACACAGTAGTTCTGCAAATCTGCTAACTAGCCTAGTCCCCCCCCCCGCCTCAATTTCTGAAGGTATTTTCTTTACATCACTTCTCTTTTGTTATGACTACCGATGAACAATCCATGAAAGTGCAAACAGTGCAGCTTTCCAATTTGGTGACCAGTACATAAGTCTGAACACCAAAAAGTAATTGGCTTTTCTCCTTTCCTGAGAGGTGGGAGTAACTGATTCTGCAGTCATGTCTGATGCAAGTGTAACTCTCGCATGAAGTCGGTCTTGGCCACTGTGCTGCTATTCACCTGGGCTATAAGGTGTTGTCTGTCACCACTTGTTATCACCAAGCTTTGAAGCTTTGATTAATTCCCCAGTTGTTTGTTATAGTAGGAAAGGAAGGTGTGTGTATGTGGGGGGGGGTCTGCAGAAGCCCCTGGGAATCAGCTTCCTGTGTAATTAAGAAGTAACTGCCTCCCTAAGGAGTACCTGCCTCTGAAGCACAGATTCCAGAAAGAAGGAGTTGTTCCCAAGAATAGAAGTCTCTACAGGGCAAACCAGCTCTCGCCTTCTCCCTACCACAACTAGGCATTTTTATGAGTTTAGAAATGCTTGGTCATAATTTAGGACTGGAGTGTTTTAATAACCTGTGGAGGTTGAGCCAGCCTTTTAGTTCTTGTCCTATATTAGTATTTCCTCAGGTCATAATTAAAATCCACTAGAAAATTACACTTAATTTTTAAAATGGACATTATTATTTGGCACTATTTTTTTCATCATCTGAAATAAGCATGTAGAGAATTGGTTTAGATCAGACATGCTTTTCTTTCTGATGTGTTGACAGGATACATCAATGGTATATTTTTTTAAATGCTACAGGTATTTAATTTCACTGGTGTCCCTTTGTTTCCTGACTTAGGATCAGAGCAGCAACTTGGGTGGTATGTCTGAGCACACAACTGTGACTGGTTATAAGGGTTTTTTTTCTTTCTCAAAAACTTGCCCATAGCCAGCCAGGCCATACAAAATGTGATTTGAAAAATAATTTTTGAATTTTGGAGAACTACCCAGAAATTTTATTTTAAAATCACCCAGTGACAATACTTCAGAATTGATAGTCAGGCTGGGATTCTTGAAATCCTAACATGTTGAAAAATGTTTACATTTTTAATTGTTAAATCTTTTTATTGTGGAAGATCCCAAACATAACGGAAGAAGAGAGAAGAGTATGATAAGCAGCAAAAGCCCATCACCCAGTTTGGACAATCATCAAGACATGGGCCAAGCTTGTTTCATTTGTTCCTTCCTCCTCCCTCACTCCTGGGTAATTTGAACCAAATTTAAGATAATGTATTATTTCAGCCTTAACTAAGTCAGTGTATATGCATAAAAGTTAAGGTCCTGAGCCTCCCCTGGTGACGCAGCGGTTGAGCGCTGGGCTGCAAGGCTGCCTGCAGCCTCTGCAGCGCTGGTTCATTCCGGAGCGCCTGCGAGGGTCCTACAAAAAAAAAAAAAAATTACCTCCCTGGTGGCGCAGGGGTTAAGACGCAACACTATGAAGCTAGCTGCAGCCACTGCAGCACAAGTTTGATCCTGGCCAAGGAACAAACCACATGGCACAGCAGACCTCTCCTGTCTTGCTCT